CCAAGAAACTATTATACTTATATTTTTTATATTGTTTTTTTTTGAATTACATTATTTAGAACAATATGAGACAAGTATAAAAAGTTTATGTTTATTTACTTTTTTAGATTACATACTTATTTTTATTGTATGTAATTGTTTTTCTAGATTTCAGCAACTGTTCTGAAAGTAAAGAAAACTATGAGCCAAAATTAAGTTGATGTGGCCTAGTAATTTCTCTTTTTCCTATGGCTGGAAAATTTACAATTTGCAGACAACGATAAAAGTGGTTTGAAAAAAAAACACAAGACTCGTTTTTTTTTTGGTTTCTTGTCTTTTCATTGAAGAAAAATAAACTATGAAAATTTGAAAATTTTTAAATTGTATGTTGGAAACTGTTTCACTGTTAATTTGGAATATAATATTTTCTAATTAAATTTCTTGACTTTCAAGAAGCTGAATATCATTATAAATAAAAAAAAACTCTGATAACAATTTAAATTTTATTTAAATATTTTTTTTTGTGTATTTTATTTTCACTTATTTTTTTTAATAAAACACTGTTTTTTCTTTCTCAAAAAAATTTGACATAAGGTAAGTCACATTTTTTAAATCTGAAATTGCATTTCCAAAGACAAAGACTTTTTGTTCTAAATAATAAAATAAATTGTAGTTTGTTTTAACAATTTGGTAAGTACAATATAATTTTTCCATTTGTAGACATACTCCGGCCTCTTTTGCGTCGTTGTTAATCCCTACAAAAAACTCCCTATTTACACAGAAAAAATCATGGAACGCTATAAGGGCATTAAACGACACGAAGTGCCTCCACACGTCTTTGCCATAACCGATACTGCCTATCGTTCGATGTTACAAGGTACTGAAAAAATAATTTTCAGTAGAAGTTTAATAATGAATATTTTTTTCTCACAGAGCGAGAAGACCAATCTATACTTTGCACTGGTGAATCAGGTGCTGGTAAAACAGAAAATACGAAAAAAGTCATTCAGTATTTGGCCTACGTTGCCGCTTCGAAATCACCAAAAGGTTCAGGAGCGGTAAGTGTGAATTAAAAAAAAAACGGCATGTTACACTTATAAAAAAATCCTACTCTTATCACCGATTCGCACGTATTTTGTTCTAATTTGTTTCTTTTTCTCTTCTTTTGCATGTATTGTTCTTTCGGAGCACAGCAGAAAGACCTTATTGTAAGTAGTCTATTTTTTTATTTTATCTTTTAGTTATTTCAGCCGGTCGATAAGTTTACAAATGATTTGAAATTTGCTGAAACATTCTTTCAACAAATTTAAAATTATGCGTAGATTTATTGACAGGACATTTTAGTTGGTAGTCGGTGTGCGCGACTTTTTTCTGGATTGCATATATTTATTTTACTTTATTTTTTACTTTACATGCGTTCATCAGAGTCCCACGAGAGAATTCTCGGTATGTAAGTTCAATGTGTGTCAAAGTCTGAGAAAAATCGCACTAAAAAACGACCTCACAACTTAGCTAGTTGGATAGAATAGAAAAAACGTCGCATTTTAACAATTTTGTAGCTCCATTTTGACATAATTGAATCGATTTTTTCTCTTTAAACTCTTTCATGATTCAGATGTGTCGAAATGAAGGCCGTGTGAGTTATCATTATGTGTGTACATTGCTTGAATTTTAATTTTGTTGGACTAAAGTAACGTTTTAATATACAGGGCGGTCTAGAGCAGCAACTGTTACAAGCCAATCCGATTCTTGAAGCTTTTGGTAACGCCAAAACAATCAAAAACGACAATTCTTCCAGATTCGTAAGTATTTGTAAGTTTAATGGAACTTGTTTAAATAATTTTAATTTAGGGAAAATTCATTCGGATAAATTTTGATGCTTCTGGATACATCGCTGGAGCCAACATCGAAACTTATCTTCTTGAAAAATCACGTGCCATAAGACAAGCCAAGCAAGAAAGAACCTTCCACATCTTCTACCAATTGTTGGCTGGAGCTTCCACCGAACAGAAAAGTATGTTTTTTCGCGCATAGTAAAATTTCTTATGTAACTCGTGTCAAATTACAGAGGAATTCATTCTCGAGGATCCCAAATCGTATCCGTTCCTTCGTGAGGATAATCATATAGTACCCGGCGTGGACGATGCTGCCGAATTTCAGGCAACCGTCAAAAGTATGAACATAATGGGAATGACGAACGAAGATTTCAGTGCCATTTTCCGCGTCGTTTCGGCCGTAATGCTCTTTGGAACGATGCAATTCAAACAGGACCGGAATTCAGATCAAGCGACATTACCGGATAACACAGTGGCGCAAAAAATCGCTCATTTGTTGGGATTATCGGTTACGGATATGACGAAGGCTTTCCTCAAGCCGAGGATTAAGGTCGGAAGAGATTTTGTTACGAAGAGTCAGACGAAAGAACAGGTGCGAGATATTTCTGTTTTGTTGAACTCATTGATCTGTTTTCTGTGTAATTTTGAGATTTAGATTACTTGAAACAATAGTCGAGCTTGTTTTACATTGTATCACAATGTTTGGTGATTTACTAGTTATTTGTGGAAGCATAAATAACAGGAAGTTGATAGGTTTACAGCGAGCATGTATTGGAAATTATTTTTTATGTATTATAAAGGGTGTAACGAAAAGATGGGGACAAGAAGTAAACTGAGATTTCCCAGGTCAAAATAAAGTGATTTAACCCAACTTACCTCTATACCAAGTTGCAGCGTTTAAAAGTTACAGGACGCTAATGAAATTATGATTTTTTTTTGTTTAAATTAATAATAACGTAATTGTTAACTAACACAAATATACAGGCTGTTCCGTTTTAATTGTTACAAACTTGAACAGGTGATAGAATACTCAATTTTAAGACAAAAGTTTCCTATGAACATGTATCAAAAAATGTTACGTAAGCGAGCTACACCCCCTGAAAGAGATGCGTTTTTCATGGGGTTTTCCCACTATCTCAGAATAGATAAAATTTCAAGAGTTGGTACAGCTGATTACTTTTAAACACCTGAACGAATCTAAAGATCAGTTGTCGAAATTTTTAATCACGGGTTCCTTAAATGGTGATACAAATTTAATTTTTAATTTATATTCTCTTTATGGTCTTTAAGACAAATTGTAAACTGATTTTACTCAAAAACGGTAAGTTTTATCGAAAAAACCCAAGCGACCTCTTTTTTGTGAAAAACTATGAAATTTAGAATTTCGTGGTTGAAAGTGGCAAAAACCAACCGCCAAAATAGTTAGGGTACTTTTTACCCTAAACCTCCCAGTTTAAGACGCCCCTTAGTAAAAATTTCGACATTTTATTTTTGAATTCATTTGGGTGTATAAAGGTTATCAGTGGTACCAAATTTTGTAATTTTATTCACGATGATTTCTGAAATATTGGAAAAAATCTATTAAAAAATGCACCCCTTTCAGGGGATGTGGCTCCCTTATATAAAATTTTTCGATATATGTTTGTAGGAAACTTTTATCTTAAAATTAAATATTCTATCACCTGGTTAAATTTGTAACAATAAAAATGGAACAGCCTTTTCCATAGATAAAGACACTAAAACCTAAAAAAACAAATAATGCAATTTCAAAAACAATGGCCAACGTCCAAAATTTTAACACCTTTACTTAAATTATATTTTACTCTAAAACCAAGGCCGATACGAAAATTTTATGCCATACAAAAATTGTTTAAAAATAAGGTACCTTTCGAATAAAAAAAGAATAACGCCACTCGGATTACGTATAACAAAAAGATGCCTTAAAATGTGTCAAATTGTTAATAATTAAGTACTTTACAATAAAAATAAAATAAAAGAAATAGCACTAATACATGTGGTTTTGATATAAAATTGCCTGCACCAAATTTCATAAAAATCGATTAATCCATTAAAGAGTTATTAAAGAAAAACGAAAATAATTTTTAAACTTTGACGCCCTCCAACTTTTAAACGGTACAACTTGGTATAGGTAAGTTAAGTTAAATCGTTTTATTTCGCCCTTGGGAATCTCAGGTTGCTTTTTGTCCCCATATTTTCGTGACACCCTGTATTTATACTGAGTGTTTAAATAGATTTAAATTTTAAGACAAAAGTTTTCTATGAACATATATCGAAAAATAATATGTAAGGTATGCCTCCTAAAATGGGTGCTTTTTTAAGGCGTTTTTCCCAATATTTCAGAATAGATAAAATTACAAATTTTGCTACAGCTGATATCCTTTATACACCTAAACAAATTCAAAGATCAAATGTTGAAATGTTTAATCAGGGGCGTCCTAAACTGGGGACAAGGGGTAGTAGGAATTTAATTTTAAATTTTGATACCTTGTAACATAAATTTTAAACTGGTTTTACTCAAAAAGTTAAGTTGTATCGAAAAAACGCTAGACTTTTTTTGTGAAAAATTATGAAATTTAGAATTTCGTTGCTGAAACTACAGCCAAAATAGTTAGGGTAGCTTTTACCCTAAGCCCCACTCCTCAGTTTAGAACGCCCCTGACATTTTTTTAATTTGACATTTTATCTTTGAATGCGTTTAGGTGTATAGAGTTTATTAGCTGTACCAAATTTTGTAATTTTATCTCAAATGATTTCTGAAATAATAGAAAAAAGGTATTGTTAGGGGGTGTAGCTCCTTTAATAATATTTTTCGATACATGTTCATAGAAAACTTTTGTCTTAAAATTAAATATTCTATCATCTGTTTAAATTTGTAACAATAAAAACGGAACAGTCTATAGTATTAGCTAATTTTTCGATTTCTCCTCAGGTTGAATTCGCCGTTGAAGCCATCTCCAAAGCCTGCTACGAACGCATGTTCCGCTGGTTGGTCACCCGTATTAACCGTTCCTTGGGTCGCACTAAACGTCAAGGCGCCAGTTTTATTGGCATTCTCGACATTGCCGGTTTCGAAATCTTCGAACTCAACTCTTTCGAACAACTATGTATCAACTACACCAACGAAAAACTCCAGCAACTCTTCAACCACACAATGTTCATTCTTGAACAAGAAGAATACCAACGTGAAGGTATTGAATGGAAATTCATCGATTTTGGACTTGACCTTCAACCCACCATCGACCTCATCGACAAACCAATGGGAATCATGGCACTTTTAGATGAAGAATGTCTCTTCCCGAAAGCCACCGATAAAACGTTTGTCGATAAGCTCGTCAGTGCGCATTCTGTGCATCCCAAATTCAAAAAGAGCGATTTTCGAGGCGTTGCCGACTTTTCGATTATTCATTATGCCGGTAAAGTAGATTACTGTGCGAATCAATGGTTGATGAAAAATATGGATCCTCAAAATGAGAATGTGGTGTCATTGTTGCAAGCATCGCAAGATCCCTTCGTCATTCATATTTGGAAAGATGCCGAGAGTATCGGACGTGCTAAAGGCATGTTTAGGACTGTTTCGTATTTGTATAAAGAACAATTGGCTAACCTGATGGTGACTTTGCGAAATACCAATCCAAATTTCGTACGTTGTATTATCCCCAATCATGAAAAGAGGGCGGGAAAAATCGACGCACCTTTGGTTTTGGATCAATTAAGATGTAATGGTGTCCTTGAAGGTATCCGAATTTGTCGACAAGGTTTCCCTAATAGAATACCATTCCAAGAGTTTAGACAAAGATACGAACTATTGACACCCAATGTCATTAATAAGGGTTTCATGGATGGCAAAAAGGCATGCGAAACCATGATCAAAAGTCTGGAATTAGATCAGAATTTATACAGAATCGGTCAATCGAAGATTTTCTTCCGAGCCGGTGTTTTGGCACATTTGGAAGAAGAACGCGATTACAAAATCACTGATTTGATCGTGAATTTCCAAGCTTTCTGTCGAGGTTTCTTGTCGAGAAGAAATTACCAAAAGAGAGTCCAACAATTGAATGCCATCCGAATCATCCAAAGAAATTGTTCGGCTTACCTCAAATTACGTAATTGGCAGTGGTGGAGACTTTACACTAAAGTCAAACCGTTGTTAGAAGTGACCAAACAGGAAGAAAAATTGATGCAAAAAGAAGACGAGTTGAAACAAGTCAAAGATAAATTAGAGCATCACATAAAATCGGCAAAAGAATTTGAAACCAAGTACCAACAAGCTCAAGAAGAGAAAGTCATGCTACAAGAACAATTACAAGCCGAAGTGGAGTTGTGTGCCGAAGCTGAAGAAATGAGAGCGAGATTGACTGCTCGGAAGCAAGAGCTTGAAGAAATTCTTCACGATTTGGAAGCTAGAATCGAAGAAGAGGAAGAACGGGCAAATACACTTAATAATGATAAGAAGAAACTTCAATTGACGATTCAAGATTTGGAAGAACAGTTGGAAGAAGAAGAAGGTGCCAGACAAAAATTACAATTGGAGAAAGTACAATGCGATGCCAAGATTAAGAAACTGGAAGAAGATTTGGCTTTGAGTGAAGATACAAATCAGAAGTTGCTCAAAGAGAAGAAAGTTTTGGAAGAGCGTAGTAATGACTTGAGTCAGGCTTTGGCGGAAGAAGAAGAAAAAGCCAAACATTTAGCCAAATTAAAGGCCAAACACGAGGGTACCATAGCCGAATTGGAAGAGCGTCTCCTTAAAGATCACCAACAGAGACAAGAATCGGATCGTACGAAACGTAAAGTCGAAACAGAAGTGAACGATTTGAAAGAGCAACTTTCCGAGAAGAAATCACAATTGGAAGAACTTCAATTACAATTGGGTAAAAGAGAAGAGGAGTTGGCTCAAGCTATGGTCCGTGTTGATGAAGAAGGTGCTCTCAAAGCACAGGCACAGAAAGCACTCCGTGAATTGGAAAGTCAACTTAGTGAATTACAGGAGGATTTAGAAGCGGAAAAAGCCGCAAGAAGTAAAGCCGAAAAGTTGAAACGTGATCTAAACGAAGAATTGGAAGCTTTGAAAAACGAATTATTAGACTCATTGGATACCACAGCTGCCCAACAAGAATTACGTTCGAAACGTGAACAAGAACTCGCCAACTTAAAGAAGAATTTGGAAGAGGAAAATCAAGTCCATGAAGCGACTTTGGCAGATATGCGACATAAGCATACGCAAGAATTGGCCTCTTTGAACGAACAATTGGAGAATATCAAGAAACAGAAGGCCAGTATCGAAAAAGCGAAACAATCGCTTGAAGCGGAAAACGCCGACTTGACGAGTGAGTTGAGAAACGTCGGTGCTAGTAGACAAGAAGGTGAACGTAGAAGAAAACAAGCCGAAAGTCAATTGGTTGAAATCCAAGGAAAATTGGGTGAAATCGAGAGAGCTCGAACTGAACTCGCCGAAAAGAATCAGAAATTACAACAGGAGATGGATAATATCGTTCAGCAGTTAGAAGAAGCCGAATTGAAAGCTTCTGCTGCTTTAAAGAATCAAGGAACTATAGAATCACAATTTGCCGAAGCACAGAGCGCGTTAGAAGAAGAAACTCGTCAGAAATTGGCCTTGAGTTCGAAATTGAGACAATTGGAATCTGAAAAGGAAAATCTACAAGAACAGATCGAGGAAGAAGAAGAAGCCAAAAAGAATCTTGAGAAACAATTGAACGCGGTTACCATACAGTTAGCTGAAGCGAAGAAGAAAGCCGAGGATGAAGCTGAGCAATCTGCTATTTTGGAAGAAAGTAAAAAGAAACTAGCTAAAGATTTGGAATTGTTGCAACGTCAAGTTGAGGAATTAACAGCGGCCAATGATAAGTTGGAGAGAAGCAAAAAGAAAGTAGCTGCCGAGTTGGAAGATACCAATATTGATTTGGAGGCTCAAAGACAGAAAGTTGCCGAATTAGAGAAGAAACAGAAGAATTTCGATAAAGTTTTAGCCGAAGAAAAGCAAGTCAGTGAGCAGTTAATGGCGGAAAAGGACGCGGCAGAGAGAGAAGCCCGCGAGAAAGAAACTCGAGTGTTGTCATTAAGTCGTGAATTGGACGAATCTAATGTTAAAGTTGAAGAATTGGAAAGAATTAAGAGACAACTTCAAGCCGAACTTGACGAATTGGTCAACAATCAAGGCACCGCTGATAAAAACGTGCACGAATTAGAAAAAGCCAAACGTTCCCTCGAAACACAATTGGCTGAATTGAAAGCCCAAAATGAAGAATTAGAAGATGAGCTTCAACTTACTGAAGATGCAAAATTGCGACTAGAAGTCAACATGCAAGCATTACGAGCTCAATTCGAACGCGATGTCCAAGCTAAGGAAGAACAAGCCGAAGAGAAACGTCGTGGTATTGTCAAACAATTGCGTGATCTTGAAGCCGAATTAGATGAAGAAAGAAAGCAAAGAGCAGCTGCTGTAACCGCTCGGAAGAAACTAGAAGGTGATTTGAAAGAACTCGAAGCTCAAATCGAGATGCAATGCAAGATGAAAGAAGATGCTTTGAAACAATTGAAAAAGTCACAACAACAGTGTAAGGAGGCGGTGCGAGACGCCGAAGAAGCACGAGCGTCACGTGACGAACTTGCTGCCGCTTGTAAAGAAGCCGAACGTAAAGTGAAAACTCTCGAAGCTGAGGTTCTTCAATTGAGTGAAGATCATGCCGGATCTGAGCGAGCTCGTCGTGCTGCCGAAGCAGAACGTGATGAACTTCTTGAAGAAGTCAATAATACTAACAGCAAGGGGGCGTTGTTGATTGATGAGAAACGACGTCTTGAGGCCAGGATTGCCACTCTTGAAGAGGAAATCGAGGAAGAGCAAAGTAACAACGAATTGTTGCAGGATAGAGCGAGGAAAGCGCAATTGACGATTGAGCAGTTGACGTCCGAGTTGGCCACGGAGAGATCTCTTGCTCAGAAACAAGAGTCGAGCAAATTGCTTTTGGAGAGACAGAATAAGGAGTTGAAGGCGAAGTTGAGCGAATTGGAGACGGCGCAAAGGACCAAGACGAAAGCTACGATTGCAGCGTTGGAGAGTAAGATTGGAAATTTGGAGGAGCAGTTGGAAGTCGAGGCAAAGGAGAGATTGGCACAACAAAAGACGAATAGGAAGTTGGATAAGAAGTTGAAGGAATTAGTAATGCAGTTGGAGGACGAACGTCGACATGCCGATCAGTACAAGGAGCAAGTGGATAAGGCGAATGCGAGAGTGAAGACGTTGAAGAGACAATTGGACGAGGCTGAAGAGGAAATTACAAGAGAGAAGGCACAGAAGAGGAAAGTGCAAAGGGATTATGAGGATATGTTGGAGAGTAACGAGTCGATGACGAGGGAGCTTAATAGTCTTAAGACTAAATTGAGGTGAGTTTTGAATTAGTAAAACACTCTGTACAGGGTGCTACATTTTGGATGTCCGAATAAACTAAGCTTTAGCCAAAAACGAGTAATACATTCTGGTGCTCATTTTTTGAGGAAATAATATTGGTTAAAACTGCATCCCGCTATCGTCTTTTGTTTTTGACTTATAGACAAAAATTGACATTTAAGTGAAATCTGAAAAAATTCATATCTTCGTTATTATAGAAGACACAGATTTGAAATAAAGACATTATAGAGGCACTTTTTTACGTAGAATTTAATAATGTAGTTAACAATTTTTTTCAGTTGTTTGTTTAGCTGTAATAAAATAAATTTGTATTTTTTTATATAGGAACCATAGATGGCTAATGTCATTTTTAAAAAGCTTGTTTTTTTCTTATCTAAAAAATATATATTTGTAACAAATTATTATAATACAGTGATGGACAGTGAATTTCGTCCACCCAATTTCTATAACAGATTAAAAGTGTAAATTAGTCTTTAGGTTTTCCTAACCTTGTTTCAGAATTTTGATTAATGTTTGTCATGTTGACAGAATGCTTGATGCTTCTTGCTACTTTTTACCTTTGTCCTTTGAAATGGTAGTCTTTGGTATGCCCAAAAGTATAGAGACACGTCTTTGAGACATACCCTTTTGTACCAGAGAGATAATTATTATTTTATTACTGCCGGCATGTTCGAATTTGATTAAATTTGACAATACGCATTAGAATGTCAGTTATCATGACAATAAAACGCAAACTACAGTGAATTTTTGTGAATTCACAGAAATTGAATGGACGAAATTCACTGTCCATCACTGTACATATGTATTACATATGACGTATGTCTGTGGAAGATAAAATGTCACAATGACAAATGAGAAATGTCCAAATATTTTCTATGTAAATTATGACAGGAAACCGTGGTGAACGATTTTTATGAATAAACACCAACAAAATCTTGTTTTAGTTTGTTTTGGGACGTTTCATATAATAATTCAATTTAATTAGCTCAATGTTTTAATTTTTATAAAATTATTTTTTGACATCTAGATAACATACGGACTGCCATGCAACATACGTCCTCAACTAGGACGCCTACTTGATAGAAAGACTTTTTGATCGCACTGTATAAGGATTTAAACTATATTATTCAACCAGTGTCACTAACGAAAGAGTTTTCTAAGTACTAAGTAATGAAAAAAATGCAAAATAAATCGTAAATCAACTTATTGGCGACTAATAACATTTCTTTGTTTTTAAACAAGCTAACATTACCATTGCAACTTCTAGTGATACATAGAGTGTTGTAAAAAAAAGCCGCTATAATTCTTCAATAAAATATATTTTATATGACACAAAAATGACGATATGGCTATTCAAATACTCAAATTCCGTCTATGTCGAACGTTATTCTATACCTCCATTAGATCATCAAAAAAATGTTTTTTCTAATTGTGTAGACTGTTGACACATTTGTCTTTCCGATTTTTGGATTTTTTAAAAATATGTAATAATTTTGTTCTGAGGCGCTCGCATTACTTCTACGGTATCGTATTTTTTAAATTTTTATAATTTTATCGATTTTTTTTCATCTATTTTACAGTTCACAAAACTCTTATTGATTATTATTTACACATTTGGAGTGGAATAGTTTTTCCATGGCCAACTATTATCAAACAAAATATGTATTTCATTTTCTAAGTGTAATTATAAAAAAATATTCTGTTACAAATATATATTTTTTAGATCAGAAAAAAATAAGCTTTTCGAAATTGCCATAGCGCCGCCTATGATTTCCATTTAAAAAAATAAAAGATTATTTTATTACGGCTAAACCAATAACTCAATGTTAACTACATTATTAAATTCCTCGTAAAAAAGTGCCTCTATAATGTCTTTATTTCAAATCCGTATCTTCTATAATAACGAAGATATGAATTTTTTTCGATTTCGCCAAAATGTCAATTTTTGTCTGTAAGTCGAAAACAAAAGACGATAGCGTGATGCGGTTTTAATCAATATTATTTTCTCAAAAAATGAGCCCCAGAATGTATCACTCGTTTTTGGCTAAACATCTTAGTTTCGGAGATTCCCTATGCAGCACCCTGTACATATGCTTCATTTCTTCACAATATTTGGTCATTTCTCACGCAATCATCTGTCATCACAAAAACTTTTTCACTTTTATTTCACCCTCTTTTTGGCTCTTTGCAGCATTAATAAATGATAACGAGTTACGTTCTTCCGGTGATCATGTGGTATGTGGTGTTTGACGGTGTTGGATGTTTCAATGGTATTATATATTAACCGTTTTTCTTTTGCTTTTTTGTTTTTTTGCCTGACTAATTGCATTTTTGTGTTGTCTTCGAAAATATTTAGTATATTGATTTGTAATTTTGTATTAGGCGCGGCACTGGTGCCAGTAGCGGCATGGGTCTGCCCAGACTCAGCGGTCGAGGTTCCATCCAATCCGGGGGCAACGGCTCCGGTGACGATTCCACAACCCAAGATGACGCCGTCGATGGCGAAGATGCCCCCAATTAAGTCGCATTTTACGCATTTTGTTGTAAATATAATTGTATATCCCTTATTAGTACTTAGCATTTTTTAATATGCGCAATTTGTGGATTATTTGTAAAAATCGAACAGTGAGTTCGGCTTAATCAGTATCAGTAATCAAGTTCATTATTTTTTTTTATTTATAGTTTTTTTTATAATTTTAAATATCGTGCTTTATAGTGATTAATTTGTACTTTTAACAGTTGATTGCATTTATTTATATGAAAGTTTATTATTTGCTTAATTTCTTTCTAGGGTTTCATCGTACTTTATATTTTATAAATCTAGGAATTAGTTGGAAGTATCAGCATTTAAATAACACTTATGTATCTAATAATAATAATAATCAATAATCGCTAACGACAAATGACATTTTTTATACAACATTTATAGGATTATATATTTTGTAAAAAAGCATCCCACTAGCATCGAGGAAATTTTGATATTTGACGTTTTTGTATAAAAAATTTCAGGTTTTTGTATGTATATATCCTTAATGTAAAAAATATATACATATTTTTGGGTTTCGGGCTGATTTATTTGTACTTTAACGAGTTCAATAAAATCATAAAAAGGTTGTCGGTTTTTTCTTATCATATCCTTAAAAACAGGCATTTTTGTACCACTTATTCAAGTCTAAAATTTGCTTCAATTATACCAACCAAAAATTTTGTCAACTTGCTGTTTTTCCCCAAATTTAATTAAAATGTGTCCATTTTACCCCGATACCCCCTATTGTATGTTGCGGGTTGCATAATTAAAGTCTAACCTCAATTTTTGGTTATTTAAGTGTATGTGATTCACTTATAAACCATAATATGCAATTTTGTTACTCTTTTGAATGAAAAATAGTCAGTAGTAAGTTGTCTGTGTAGGATTATAAAAGGCTGTCTTCCAAATTTTTAGGTTAGGATGTCCCTTACTCGTGTAATTTTGCCGAAATGCAGCCAAATTAAACTTCTGTGTACAATGACACAGAGTGATTTCAAGACTGTATACAAATTTCCATTCGTTCAGGGTGTAGGCTTAATAAATCGTTTAAAATTATATCAAACTGTTTTAACTTCAATTGCACTACCGACAACGGCAATTTTAAATCAATTAAACATTGTTTCTCAGGATTATATTTTATTCACAGCAACCGTGGGAATTGCCGGAATTGTGCCTCTATACAGTCTCGGTTATTTTGCAAATAAACTAGTTGGAATAGTGTACTTAAACGAGAAACAAGAGCAAGTAAAGTTTGCATATCTGGACTTTTGGGGGACCCGCAAGGACATTGTAGTACCTATGAAAGACATAGTGCCATTTTCGGAAGTGCCGCGGTCATTGACCGATCCTCTGTATTCAAAAATTCAGCAGTTTTCATCCAAAGAAACTCTAAAATTATGTACAAAATACGGTATCTTAGATAAGACAGGTTTTAATAAAATATTTATAATTTACTAGGTGTATTTATTAAGATTTAACTCCATCTATAATGCGCGTAAGCCCTATTGGCCTCGCACTGCTTATGTAAGTCTTGTTTCCTCTTAACTACTCTTCCTTTGTTATTTGCAGCATCGATTAATTCCAATGCCAACTGATAATGAAACCTGACATTCTTATCTTTTTCTTTGCTAGCCAAAATAAGCCATTTCATCGACATAAACTGACTCCTCTTTCGTGTAATTGGCACAGGAACTTGATATCTAACACCCCCACGTTTTATTGGAGTTAGATTCATTATTGGCTTACAATTTTCCACAGCTTTGTGGAAAATTACACGAGGATCTAACTCAATTTGGGCTTTTTCTTCGGGGTCCTGACACTTGTGGTACTTTTCTAGTTGAATCCTTTTGATGTTCTCAAACGCTTGTTCAACTAATCCTCTAGCGAGAGGTTTAAGGCCATCTCTCATGATGTAATTGGTAAAAAGGCTGTAAAATTGTGTGGTTGAGTAAAAATGGGGCAAATCCTAAAATCTTTACCTGACTAAGTCGTCCTGAGTGGGGGAACAAGTCTGATTATTCAGAGCTGCTCTTGTCGGCATGTGGACTAATTTTTGGGCTTCGCCGGTCTTTACCAACTCTTCTTGAACTTCCTTTTTGTGGACCGGCTGAATGTAATAGCTGGGGTATTGCGACATGCCATTTTTTTGGATTATTATGCTAAAACAGAATAAAGTTTTTGAGGTTGACAATTAAAAAATTTGAGGTTAGGTCAGCTACATTTGTAAAAAAAACAGTTAAAAACTAGATGCTAACTTATGTAATCATGAGCACAACATTTAAATGCTGTTTACCTTAAATTGGGGACACTTCCTTTTATAATTTGAAAGTTTTTTGAAAATAATTTTATTGCAGCCATTTTACCACGTGCGCATGCGCGTCAAAAATGCTATGAAAGTAGCCACAAACATTACAGTGGGACAACTAAATATCAAATACTAATACAATTAAAAATAAGACTTATTTTTGTTGGTCTACTGTATGCTCATTGTCGCCAACCTGTCAACAATAATGTTTTCCAGCTATCTTCATTAACATTAAAATGGCTGCTTTAAGTTCTATTCCAAGCAGTTTTTGAGTGAGTTTTGAGTAAAAATCAAAAGTTTATCGATTTTCCACACCAAACTATGCTTCGAGAAACATCGATGAGTTAGTTTGCCACTTTTGTAGCGTTTTTCGTGTCTCAAATTTTGTCGAATTTTTGTGCAAAATGGCAGATCAGCAGTCCAATCAAGGTACGTGTTCAAAATTTGGAAAAATTAGCTTATGTTTATCTCGCGGGGGCTGCAATTTCAGTCCGGAGACCTATGCTGAGCATAGACTTGCCCAATAGTGCAAATTCAATCGGGGGTTTTCGTCCGCTTCCCAGCCAGCCTGGGGCCACCAATGAGCGTTTGGGGACTGCAGCCGGCTCCAACCGCCCCAAGATGAGCCTCCCTACCATTCCCAAGTCCACCATCGACCCCACTATTGACAGAACCCGGTGGGTGTTATTACTACTTAATTGTTTTTGATTCATCTCTCATTAATTTGCATTGAAATTCGCAGTTTTGGCCCCAGTGAAAGAAATAAACAGCAAAGGTAACCCGAGTCACTTTTATATCATGTTTTTTTCATCGTCCTTGAGTAAACGTCAACTTTTATTCAAAAATAATAATTTGCATGGTCACATTTGTATGTATGACAGTGGTTTTATTTTTATTTTTTATAGGGATTCCCGGTTCAAGATTTGCCAATCGATGAATTCCTCCGGGAAGCTCCAAATTGGAGGCAAGACCTACGATTTTACATCTGATGATTTGCAAGACATTGGAGAGATTGGAAGGGGCGGTTTTGGGACTGTGAATAAGATGGTGCATAGGAAATCTGGTACTGTGGTTGCTGTCAAGAGGATAAGATCAACAGTTGATGAAAAAGAACAAAAACAACTGTTGATGGACTTGGATGTGGTGATGAAAAGCAACGAGTGCCATTATATTGTGCAATTTTATGGGGCCCTGTTTAAGGAGGTTGGTTGCTTTGAGTTTTTTATTCTTACGTCCTATTTACTTGAAAGATAATAAAGTAAATTTGTTTAAATGATACTCATTTTCCAAGCAATTTGGTATATTTATATAAAGATTAAAATTGCACCGTGAGTAACTTAAGGGGATTCCACCCGTATTCTTCTTATGGGAATTACAATGTAAACTCGATCTAAAATATCTCGGAAACTAACTGGAATTTTTGCTTATTTTTTTTTTAAATAAAAGATATGTCATATTCAGGGGCTCAATTTTCGCTTTTTTCAAAAAAGGTAGTTATTAATTTTTTATCGAATTAAATGTAATTTCTTTTTTGTTCTTTAATTTTTTAAAAATACAGCCCCTATCAAATAATGTAAATAAGTAATACACAAAATATTGAAAAATGTAAAAATGCCAGCGAATCGAATTAATAATTTTTAAAACTTTTATCTCTTATAAGTTCTCTCTTTCCACTGTATCTGCAGATGGGTTCGACTGAGGTAAAGGGAACCATCATAAAATAACCGCTTACCCCAACTGACAATAAATGCCACAATTGCTAAATAATCCCGATATTTACTTTATTCTTGAGGTTTTAACACAATTTTTACATAGTAGGTACCTTTCTAAGGTAATAAATAAAATTAAAAATAATTATCAAAAATGTAGTAAGTACATTTTTTTGCTCATGTCGATTTTGTCAGATAAAAATCTTTTTATAACATGTAATTTTCAATAGTAATTTGATTTTGAGTGACGACGTTATCATGACATTTTTAAGAATTGTAAATAAAAAAACAAATTTTTTACGAAATCAGTTGTACAAAAACTTGTAAATTAGTTTCCTGCTTATTGTCAAGATGTCAATAAATTGCACTAAATCTGATGATTACTTGAAAACTAATTTTGTCTGACAATAATAAATTCGTGACAAAAATATTTTGTTTTGTTAGAGAGCGAAAATTTAATAGACCGATATTTTTAATAAACTATAAAATTTGTGTTGTTTTCAAAAAAAATTTCAACATTAATATTGGAGCAGAAATCTAAAAATTGTTTTAAAGAAAATTGTCAAAATTAACAAAATGTCAAAATAAATATTCATGTAGTTATAAAATACGATTTGATTGACGACGTGTTTTATGGAATACACTTCTCTTGGCATATTGTCAATTTTAATATTATTTTGACAAATTGCTTCATAATAATTTCTGAATTTAATAAAATTTCTAATTTAATATTAAAATGAAAAACAACACGAATTTTATAGTTTCTTAAAAATCTCGGACTATTAAATTTTCGCACCCTAATGGTCGCTCGAATTTTAAACTACGACTTTAATTTTWAATTCGAATTTAATTAGGGCTGAAATAAATATAAAATAAAAACAAAATCAAAATCATAAATGTGTAAAAAAKCCAAGCACCAGATTTCGCTCAGATTATTTCTTTCACACAGTACCTGCAAACCGACCCAARATAATATCTCGTTTACTGTTTTCCCCACGTCAATTCTTTATTTTTTCCTACGTCAACAAGAAACCTCGCTTCTTCAAATTTACCGTTAGCTTTTGGGTAGAATCCCSTTAAGTTTTAATCAATTACTACATTTTAATTTAAAAATTTTATTTTTAAATTTAAATTTAATTTTTAAAATAGTTTCAAGTTTTTTTCATAGCCTAAAACAAAACAAAAATTGATAATTAGATATTTTTATTTATTTCTTATTCTTATTGAGAGTTTCCTTGCTCTATGATGTAAGTTGCAGGGGGATTGTTGGATCGTGATGGAACTAATGGACACGTCGTTGGATAAATTTTACAAATTCATCTACGACAAACTAGGCGACCGAATTCCAGAAGAAATCCTCGGAAAAATTGCACTAGCGACTGTYAAAGCTTTAAACTACTTAAAAGAAAAACTCAAAATAATACATCGAGATGTGAAACCAAGCAATATTTTGTTAGACAGAAAGGGAAACATCAAGTTGTGCGATTTTGGAATTTCGGGACAGTTGGTCGATTCAATTGCACGAACTCGTGATGCTGGATGTCGTCCATATATGGCTGTAAGTTATCCAGAAAGCTGTTTTTCCCACTTGCTTCATTTGTTAATTTTTAGCCTGAAAGGATTGACCCGCAGACGGCTAAAGGCTACGACGTGCGAAGCGATGTTTGGTCGTTGGGAATAACATTGATGGAGGTCGCCACTGGTCGTTTTCCGTATCCGAGATGGTCGAGCGTATTCGATCAGTTACACCAAGTCGTCAACGGGGAACCCCCGCGCCTTACCGAAAACCATAACGCCAATACTTTTACGTCAGAGTTTGTTAATTTTGTAAATACATGGTAAGTCYATTCGGATGAACTGATCAAATAGCTGTTTAAAATTTTCGTTTCTTTTTTTTAGTTTAATAAAAGACGAACACTCCAGACCAAAGTATAAGCGGTTGCTTGAAGATCCGTTTATTTTGAGAGCGCAGAAGGAGAAAGTCGATGTTGCCGCCTACGTCTCGCGTATAATGGATGAAATGGCGAATAACGGCATCAGCGCATTCACGACAAATCAACAGTGAAGCGCTTAACCGAGTCAGAGGCGTCTCAGGTGATGTTACGATGTAGGGAAAARTATTAGTGAGTAATCGCTTAGAAGTATCATTTCTTATTATTATGGTTAGTAAGTTTGTGCAATTGAGCGCGATTCGCGATTTRCTTGGTGATAAACTCGATGATGAGGTTCTTAAAAATAAGATCGATCAGATTTAAATCGAACTAATTCGCAGAAAAACAAGGTTCTGACAATACTATCAAATTTCGTTTGGAATTAGTTCGATTTTTAATGATCGCAAGTTATGTTTAGGTTCAAATGTAATTGAGGATAAATATATAGCTTTAGTAACTTAATGTTACATAGTTGAAGCCACTGATTAAAAAAACAGTCCATTGTATATATTAGTACATGTCCGGTTTTTAAGTTTCGAATTTAATGTGATGTCTATTTTTAGCATTTATTGGATGCATTTGAGGTGCTTTTTGCATATAATTATATTTTTTTTATTTCAAAAATTGTTACCGATTTTTAAACAATAAAACGTTGCCTGTTCTATTGTACCATGTACGATTTTTGACTGTATATAGTTAGTGTATGTTGTTAATATTTAATTTTTTACTCAATTGTTTAAGAATAAGCAAATTGTACGTTTATTTACAACACAATGTTGAATATGTAAAGTAAAATTGTACAGAAAACAAAAAACAGTTTATTTTCACTCCCATAATACACTGGAAGTAGGTCCTTCAGGCCCACTTTTAATTACGCCCTGCGGGCCCTTATTTTCTAATTACTTGTTATTTTTGCTTGAGTCAGTACAAGAATTGATGTGTGAAGAAGATGGTTAATTTGTATTTGCTGGATGCGAAAAGGCGGAAAGAATTTTTTTTTCTCTTCAATGGACAATTTTACAACTATTTAAAAAATTTGAGTCGCCGTATACCGGGTGGGGCATCCGTTACGCCCAAAAAGAAAATCCCCACTTCTAATTAAATAAAATTGTTAAATTTTTTCACACTTACCTGGGCATTAGTAAGGTACATTCTCTAATTTTTTGGTAATTTTTCATTCACAAACAGCCAATGCAATTCAACGTGGAAATGCTGCTAGCATTCGGGGCACCTTCTCAGAGTCCGCCTTAATAGACGAAATTTTTGTTTTGTAATTTTTACTTATACATGTTTATTTTATTTATTAAATTCATTAAACCACAAATTTTATATAAAAATAAAACAATTCTATTCTAATTCTAATTTTTATACTGACCTACGCAGATTCACTTCCTATAATTGTTTACAAAATCAGAAAAAAAAATTCCAATTAGATTTTGAATTAAACGCAATTTTCCATCTTAACTTTGAAAATCATTTTTATTTATGACCTGCTACTTGTGCCATCGTAAATTTAGGTGACAATGGGGAACTGCAGTTTTGGTAAGATTCCAAGGTTTACAACAAAAAGACCCTTTAAAGCGGTCGGCTACCAGTAAATGATTCTTTTGTTGGCAAATTATACCATTCTGTCATAAATCACGGGTCTGGTGTGTGTTTAAATAAAAAAAAGCGATTATTTGGATAACCAAGTCAAAATTTGAAATTGTGATATGAAAGTTTGATGCGCTGACAGGTACAGATTCATTTAGTGTAAAAATTTTATAGGTAAATTAACAGAATGTATTCATAAAACACACAAAACTGTTACGGACTCATTTATTATCCAAAAAAATTAGAAAAATTCTCAAATTATACCCTATCAATAATTAGTTAGGTATATGAAATATCACCAGTTTTAATTAATTTGAATTCGCGATTTATCAAGTGCGCATAACCGATGCCCCACCTGTATATTTTTTATTTCGGTCCTGATTGTTCTTTAATAACTTTTTTTCGACGTAGAATCGATTGGTACAAGTTTCAGCGCGATCTGCTTTCAAATGGCCGAGATATGGCGGGTTTCTGGTCCGACGAGATAAAATCTAAAAGGAAAATTTTTCGAAGAAAAAAATTTTCTTAAACGATAAAACAAAAATATTTATTATTTTTATCACAAACACTTAGTTAAATATCTACAATAACTAATACGCGGATTCGTTCAGTACAATTTTAAAAACAGGATGTTTATATAGAAAAGGCCCATGGTTTGGTTTTCTTTTTAACTGTTTTTTGAATTGTATCATACGTACGCCTCCATAGTAGAACAATACAATAAATAGAGATCAAAATTAGTTTAAAAAATGCATACATGTTTTTTAACTAGCCTATTCCCACTCCTTTGCAATACGTTCATAGTCGTAATCCTCTATGAATGGCTTATCGATGTTTTTGATCATATTTTCACCACAAAACAGACATTCAGATGCAACGATATTGTCAATTTCCGATTTGACAATTTCTCTCGCAGACATCCCAGAACCGGTACTAACATTATCAACGTTTGTTTGTGTATTTAAAATCTTCAACTGTCTTTCCAAATCCGCCAATTTATTCTTCTTGGCCGGACCTACAACATTCAATCAAATAATAATAATAATAATTTTGCATTTACCTAAAAGTGGATTCAGTTCGCTCATTAAACAATCCGTGTGAAATTTATGTTGACAGGGAAACATGTAAAAGGGTCTAACCATCAACTTTCCATTGCAAATCTCGCAGTTTTCATCGCTACTTATAAAAGTATAGCGATTTCGAAACGACTGAATTTCTTCTCGGATCAGTTGTGACGATTTTGTTGCTTCCTCCATTTCATCTTTCAAGTCTTGGATGTGTTGATTGTACTCTTTTAAAGAGCTACAAATGGCCTCTTTGAAATGATCGATTGTCACAAAGTCGGAAAAGAATGGTAAAATATCTTCGATTCGGATCAAATCGCACTGTTTTAGAAATTCCATCGCTTGTTGAATATCGTCTTTGCCACTTACCACATGTTGTGCTGAAATTAATAATTAGCTCGGGTAAAAAATACTAATTCTCAACCTATTTTCAGCCAGAGTTTTTTCCGCAATTCGACGTCCTCTTCCGGCGGCATATCCGCCAATTGTTTGGCCAATTTCAAATTGTTATCAGTCAAAGCCAACTCGACTGCGGATTCCCACAAGCCCAATAATCCCGATAAATGGACGCAAGCTTCCTTCAAATCAGAGTCATCCTGACATAATCTCAACGCGAAGTGTACATCGTAATTAACCAAGCTTAATTCCCGTCCTTGTGAATTCAAATATTGCATCAATTTTGCTTTGTCGTGCTTCGCATACAACGAAAGTAGGAAATTGTGAATTGCTCGGTCGGTATTTTTCAGTTTGTCGATGCAGAATTCGAGATATTTCATTACTTCCTTAGCGTGGAATTCGCCTTCGCAGGTGACTAAAGCCGGAAGGAGACGAACTGGAACAAGTTTTTTCCCTTGTTCGATTAGGGCCTTCACGGTGTATTTTGGGACTTCTTGCATTAGGATTGGGGCGAATTGGTAGTAAAGTTCGTATTTGTTTTGGCTTTTGAGGACTTCAAGAGCCTCGTGGAAGCTGTTTTTGTAGATGTGGTGGCGGATTAGCTGTTCAAAATCTTTGTTAACAATCGTCAACTTGATCAAATTACTTTTATCCCCATGGCTCGCCATCAGTTCATAAATTGTCGACTTATTCTTCTTGATACAATCCGAAACCTCCGTCAAGGCCAAAAACACCTCAAACTCCTTCTGTATATCCAAATAGGCCGCACTCTGTTCCAACCCCGCCAATCTCTTCTCCTCCAACTTACACAAATACAACTCTACAACCCAAAGCACGATCATCGTAATCTGAGTCTTATCCTGCGGCTTGAGCGTATCCAATTTCCGTCTCAGGAAAATCTTCAACGAATCTTGCTGATCGACTTGGATAAACTTCAAACAAATTTCCTCGAAACTCGACTGCGTTTCGGCGTATCTCTGCGCACTAAGCTCGTATTGTTTATTATTAAACAACATGTCGGCTTCTTTGATCAAGACCTGATTATAAAACGCTTCGTTGCCTCTTGAGTATTTTTTAGCGAGATCGAATTGCTGATTCTCGCAGAAAATTTGCCAGACATTTCGCTCCTCTTTTGTGACTTTGATCCGAAAAACGGCGTTTTCGGTCACAGCCCAAATCTCTCCAGTGCTGTCATCTTTGACAATGTTAACCAACTTGCCGAAAGCTTCATTATAATTATCCTCATACACAACTTCCTCGTTTAAAAGACACACACCTTTYATTGCGTCAGTYTAAGCCAACAAAACGTGAAATTCGGTCAGWGTCAAAGCTATGGGGAACTTCTCCAGAGCTGAATAATCCTCATATAAGGGTTTAGGGTATTCGATTAGGCGAGTTTTTGTTTTAAGGGTGGCCATACTGTCGTCAAATCCGGATTCGAATTGACAATAAGTCACGCCTTTTTCGGTCATCCAAGCAAAGGCGTTTGGAACTGTCAAATTTTCCGACCAGAATTTCAATTGAGAGTATCTCAAACTGTTGTCGCGTTCTAAATAAGTGTCTTTTTCAGGGATATTTAAATATCGGTTGAAAACCTGTTGAAGTAGGGGTTTTTCTTCGTGTTCGACTCGACCGGTGAAATAGTACAGTCGAGTGGGCGTTGCTGCGAAAATGACGTATTTGTCAGTACCCAATACCTTGTGATAATCCAGGCCTGTGATTGGTGTGTTTGAACCTTTACCAATGTCGAAAACCTGGTAAAAGTAAAAACAGTGATAGAAAACACAATAATGATTATACAGTGTGACCAAAATAAAGTCATGTCGTGACAACTTGACAAATTTTATATCATTTTCTTCGTCTCAGTGAGACAAATCAAATGCACTAAAAAAATTTCAAAAAGTCCCCACACTTTGAACTAAACATTTTTTTCTAATTTAAATGAATCTAAAATACTTTAACTTTAAAAAATCATTACTCAATAACTATTAGGCCGATTTCCTTCAAATAAAGACCATTCTAAAGGGATGGACTTGTCCTTTAGAATGATATGCAATTTGAAATTGAATATTGGCAAACTTTTCTTCGAACAGTGTTCGAAGAAGTTCGAAGTAATCTAAGAAAACGAGTAAATTTTTTTTTCTTCGTCACCATCGTGTAGAGCATCTTTTTATTAGTAAGAATTCAAATTTTTAAAACAATATACCGAGTAGTTTTTCAGATATGATTTTTTGAAGTTAAAGTTTGCTGTTCAGGTATTGCGCCATATAGGAGAAATGCATGTTAATCTTACTTGAAATTGCATCTTTATAAAAGTATTTGTTTTAAGACTCTTCTTTTGCTTAAAAATGGTCAATTGCACCTTCTTTGTTCTAATTAGAATAAACAAAAACTGTTTCTTTACTTAAAACAAACAAAGAGTACATGCGTACTAATTAAAGCAAATAAAGAGTTTTTTTGTTCTAAAAATGATCACTGATCATTGAGCAAAATGGATCTAGAACTTTAAGCAGTAGCTTTAAATATAAGAACTTTTTTTTTCAAATTAAATCACTTTCCATTCAAATTCCAACTTGTTTACTTTGCTCTAGCTTTCTGAACTTTTTTTGAAAATGTTCTGAGCAAATGCTTTTTCATCACTTTCGAGTGATGTTAAATTCAATAAGTCATCTGATTTATTTTGTTGGTTCATTCTACGATTAGCTTCAGTTAGTTTGTAGATAGTAGTTGTTGTGATTTGAATGGATTTAATTTGAAAAAAATTTGTTTTTATATTTAAAGCTACTGCTTTAAACTTCTAGATCATTTTTGCTCAATGATCAGTGATCATTTTTAGAACAAAAAACTCTTTATTTGCTTTAATTAGTACGCAGGTTTCTTTTTGTTTGTTTTAAGTAAAGAAACAGTTTTTTGTTATTCTAATTAAAACAAAGAATGTGCAATTGACCATTTTTAAGCAAAAGAAGAGTCTTAAAACAAATACTTTTATAAAAATGCAATTTTAAGTAAGATTAACATGCATTTCTCCTATATGGCGCAATACCTGAACACCAAACCTTAACATCGAAAAATCATATTTTAAAAACTACTCGGTATATTATTTTAAAAATTTGGATTTTTACTAATAAAAAGATTCTCTACACGATGGTGACGGAGAAAAAAAAGATTTACTCGTAGGGTTTTTCTTAGATTACTTCGATTTACTTCAAACTTCTTCGAACACTGTTCGAAGAAAAGTTTGCCAATAGATTGCCAATTTAGAATGGTCTTTATTTGAAGGAAATCGGCCTAATAGTTATTGAGTAATGATTTTTTAAAGTTAAAGTATTTTAAATTCATTCAAATTAGACAAAAAATTATTTAGTTCAAAGGACTTTTTGAAATTTTTTTAGTGCATTTGATTTGTCTCACTGAGACAAACAAAATGATATAAAATTTGTCAAGTTTTCACGACATGACTTTTTTGTCGCCCTGTGTTATTTCAATTTGCATAAATTCAATTACCAATCCATCAACTTCACGATTCCCATATAGAGGCAAATAATTGGGCAGCTTGTAATTTTCTTAATTAAATTTGATTTCAATTAACTAGAAAAATACCTGTCTCCAATACTGTTCTAAACTTGATGAAAATCCAGACGTGAAGAACTTGTCGCCTTCTAGTACGATTTCGGTTTCGAAGATCAAACCCTTGGAAGTCCCTACAACGCACCAGTAGTACCAATTGACACACTAGACCCAAAATACCTAACAGAATAGGTCCAGTGGTATTTTCAGATTCATTCAAATGATTCCAAGCGACTTCTGTGAATTCATGTCCGCGAAATTTCGTTGTAGACTTCAACTTGTTGGATTTGCGTGACAAGTAGAGTAATTCGGGGCCACCTTCGAGACTTTTCGGGGCGAAAGTCAGCAACAGGTGGTTGCCAGTTGGGTCCATAAATAAGTTTGTTAAACGACATGTTGATGTATATTTGGACAAAGAAATTTCTACAAAAGATGTTCAGGAGTTTGACTTGAGTGAAACGAACAGAAATTACCATCTTGTTGCTGAGGATTGTGTAAATTCATCCTAAACAAGGTGTTATTTCCCAAAGCCACTGCTAGTTGCTTATTGGAAATAGCGACATGTGTAATTTTATCTGGTGGAGTGAAATCTTTCTTGGTTTTACTAAAAATGGGAGCGTCTTGGGTGAAAGTCATATTGATGTACCCCAAAGAGCTCTGCAAAGACAACTTGTAAATGTGCTTGGAAATTATGTTTTATTACCATATCGGCCGTCGTGAAATTATTGTTGCGTGTTTTTGTCGATGCTTGCTCAAACTGATCGAATAACGAGGTCATTTTTCTAGTTTCAATAACTGATAATTGAGGTTATATCGGTATCAATTTGACCCGATACAAATAAACGCACTTCCTATTTACACAAGGGACAAAAATGTTTCAAAAAAAAATTAACAACTCTGCTTTATCTGTACATTTCAGTTTATTATAAAATGATTAATTTACTTTTTTTTTGGAAAAATTACTGTTTTTTGACATTTATGGCTGAAGCGCCTCTAGTGCAGTGATGCTTGTCCCTAGATTGTAGCGTCAAAATTCTCTAGAATTCCCTAAACAAAACTAACCTAAAAGTTTGTGTTAAGTTCTCGTCCTTTAAATGCATTTAATTTGTGACTAAGTTAAGTATGGACGGTCCTTCCCCTTCGAATGCCACACTCGATGATGACGAAATCGTAAAAGAGGTGAGTTTTGACTTTGTCACTTTTGTGTTTGAGGTTATGTCATTGTTGGGGGGCCATGTGTCTCACTCAAATCCTTCCAGATACCAATTTTCAACTCGACGCGTCTCCAAAACAACCTCTACTTGTTGCGTTACCCCCTTTTGTCGAAAAAATGCACAAACGAGTTGAGGATCAAACGTGGTTTTTTCAAACCAAACAACCAGGAGGTCGAATTGGAGATGGCAATTGATGTGGAATCGTCGAATTTCGATAGTGATAGGGCCGAGCTGATCGCTCAGGAAGTCGATGGGGCGCCTGAGACTCGCAAAACGACGAAAATTCATTTCGAAAATGACTTAGTAGACAAAGTTAGTTTAAAGTCGGCAAAAGCGGTGAAAGAGCCGAATAAATACGCTGCTTTGACTTATACAGGGAAGGAAATACATTTGACAACATTGCGCAATATATTTCAATTGAGGCCCTCTTTTAATTACCTTGATAAAGGTTCAAAGAAACGGAAAGACACAGATCATAATGATGTGAGCGATGAAGAGGAGGCGGGGCCGAGCACCGCCGAGTTGATCACCGTCAAATTTAAGCAGAGTGACGACCGGTGGAAGAAATCCAAAAATGATCAAGTTTCTGAAGTGAGAAGTGTGGATGAAGCTTGGACTAATTGTGAAGTGCACATGGAGAACAGTTCATTGAGTAAAGTTGAAAAATTGAAATTAATTGCGGAAAATACCGAGCCGACGGGCCAAGCGACGAATTTACCCGATTTGGAATATGTTCGAGTTTTGGTTCCTGAAGATGAGGGTCAAGGGACAACTGAACCGTCCTCACCTTCACACATCATGTCTTTGCACACTTTGAGGGCATCCCCGATTTTAGAGCAGTGCCGGGTTTTGCTCAAAGACGCCCAAATTATCCAATTTCAACAACTATTGATGATTCTAGCAGGGGGTGAAGGTTTAACGGCTGAAACTCTTTTGAAGAACTTGCCCAAAGTGGCTGTCCTAGTCAGGGGTAATTGGGTGGTGAAAAGTGAAGTGTTGTACCCCAGTAACACTTTTTCTTCGACTAGTGGAGTCCCAGCTGAGCTGATGTGCCGGACACGGGATTATGTGGTAAAAAACATTAATTTGCATTATTTTAACTGTCTTAATAATCTTTTCTAGTTGTATTTATTTACTAAAAATCAGTATGTTGAGCGGAAAAAAGTCTCCTCAGTGATGAAAATCCCCTCAGAAGAAGTGAAAGAAATCTTCATGGGCTTTTCCAGACTTAGACACAATAAAGGTTGGGAGTTGGTGCTGACGACTGATAATGATTTTATATTAAAACATAGCGATATAGTGCAAAAACAGACCGAGGCTTGGGAACAAAAATTTAAACAGTTGAGTGAGTTTTTAAAAGATAATAAACGGCAAAGGCGAAAGAGTAAAAGTGTGAGTGAAGATTGTAAAATTCGGAATGGTGTGAGTTCGGATAATGATTCAGGAACGGAAAAAAATAAATCGCCGGTTGCGGCTAGGAAAAAAATTACAAAAGTGCAAGAGAATACGTCGTGATTGGTGATATTGACGGAATTGATTTGGTTGTAATGAGGATTTTATGTAATCTCGGGACGGGAGTACAGGTTTAAAATGTGAAACGTAATTCCTATTGACTGTTATTTGTATGTTGGAAAAAGAGGAAGCAAAAATGTTAAATTAATTTAAATTATCCAAGAGGAAATAAAAAAATATTTTTTATTGCCGTTTCTTATAAAAAATAAAAATCCTGTACCCCAGGATCAACATCTACAAAATGTAATCTACAATCTACGTACACAATAAACCATAGAAAGTGGTCATCTTAAATAACCAATGAACACAAGATAATAAAACTGAAATTCATTATGTTAATCATCTGAAAATTATGCCAATTCTGACTTCCTCTCTTAATTATAGACGAAATCTAATTTTAGTTCTATCACTCAAAGTTTTGCTTAAACATCTGCTAATACTTAGTACTTATTACGTAATAATACTTAATATTTTTATGAATATCCAGAACATTTAATTAAAATTTTAATTCGATATAAATTCCAAAGTAAATGGCAATTTAATTCGAATTTAATTCCGAATTAAAATTTAATTCGATTTCTGTTATACGTATTAAAAAAAACACCATCTAGGTGTCTAGCTGATCCAAATCTGCTTCTGATATGTTTCTGTGGGGCAGGAATTTAACCGATTTTTTACCCCATTTCGTCCTTTTTCCATTCTTTGGGTTTCCATCTTTTTTAATTCCTACATACCAGTCTGGATGAATTTTTGATACGTATCCGTTGTATGAACCCTGAAGAACTTCTTTAAAAACGGTTGCRTCGTTGTTTTTATCTTCCTGTGAAAGTATCAATTCAAATGAAATATTGGTGGTAGTAAGGATTAAAATAGAGTGCAAATGTTGCATTTATAATATTATTTGCTCAAGTATACTAAATAATTTGATGTTTTAATTTATTTTAAAACTTCTTAATTCACATAAATACCAATATTGCATTTTGAACAATTTTAAAATGTCGAATCACGTGTTCACGATTAAACTACATGCAGTTATTAACAATAGTAACACAAATTTTGATAAGTAGTATATTAACCTCACTCTTGTTTTCGTAATTAAAACAATGGATACCAGTTTGATTATTGTACCTATATTGATACTTGATGATTAATAAATTTGTCCAATTTCTAGTGAGTGTTCAGAACGATTCATATCAAGAAAAGCTTTGTTGAAATACGAACACTAAGGATATACTCATTTCTTATATGAAATAAAATTGAAGATTTTTTTTCTTCAGAGGAACCCAGCTGTAATAAAACTTTTAATCCAAACAAAATAGCGGTTTTAGACAATGAAACTTAATTTATACAGGGTGCTTATTTGAAGTGATTTAAAAACTAATTTTATTTATTAAAATAAATCAAAAAAAGTAAATAAAAACCAATGCAAATTCACATTGCTATGAAAAAAGAATAAAACCGATAAATAAAATTGTCACTTTTATTGTTGTTTTTACAAGTTTATAAAAGACAGCAAAAATCTGTTCAGTAGTTTTTGGCGCAATACAAAATATTTTGAAATTAACAATAAGTAGTTTATCAAAAACGTATTTTAAAAATAAAATGTCGAATACGGTCATGGAAGAATAAAGCACATTACAGTTTTTTTCTTGGGAATTTTTGAGAGATTTTTTTGTTTCAACGTTTTTGGAAGCAAAATTCCATACAAGGGGAGGAACGAGGGACCATTAACTCTGGAATTATTTTTTTTTATTTGGAAGTACAAATTTGGAATTATTAAAATTGTCTTTGGATTTGTAATTACTGGAATTATTTATGAATTACTGGAATTTTTCTGGAATTAATGGAATTCTTTTTCGAATTATTGGAGATGATGAACTATCGGAATTAATTTGGAACTACAGAATTATTTTGGAATTACGAAAATTAAACTGGAGTTATAGAAATAAATTCAAAACAATGTATGTTTACGATGGATTACTGGAATTTTGGTTGATTTTTTTTTAATTACTCGTACTGAAATTCATTTTGGAATTACTGGAATCCTTTTAAGAATTATCGTAGATAATTAGAACTATATGAATTAATTTGGAATTACAAAAATTATTTTAGAATTATGCAAATTACGGTGGAATTACGATGGATTATTCGAATTTCGGTAGAATTTTTTTAGAATTGGAATTAAAAAAAAWTATTTTTGCGAAACAAGCAACTTACTTCCCCGTACAAATTTCCCGAATCATTAAAACACAAATATCGTTTACTCTTCGCTCCTTGAATCCTGACATGAGAAACTTCCCCACTTGAAATAACAACCAGTATATTGTCCAAGTTACCATCTGTAGTTCCCACAACTTTCCCATCATCCTGTATAGACAAATAAAAACCATTTTCGGACCTGAGTCTCATTACAGGTCCATGCCAGTTTGGCGTTTCGTCCATTTGAAATTTCTAAAAAATAAACACCACTTCAATCACCGTAAAAACTGAAATCAGTTCAAGGAAACCATAAAAAAATGAAACGAAATTACAAAAGCTGCCAATATTTATTGTTAATAATAATCATAAATGAGTCATTTGTGGAATATTTCACATGTAAGTAAAAAAAATACTATAACAGAGTGAGTATTTAAATGCTAATACTGTTTTCATTGAAATCGAGATCTACGCGGCAAYAACATTATGGCTTTTTGGCCGTATTTGGTCTTGGGTCCTTTTTTGAATTTGCCGGATTTTTTTATACCAARATACCAGCCCAGATGGYCGTATTTCAGAGAGAGATAAGTATTGTAGGAGCCTTGGAACGCTTCAATAAAAATTGTGGAATTGTCCATCATGTCTGGCTCTCCGTAAAGACGCCCTTTGGGGTCCATTGCGATGTAGAGGTTGGTCAAAAGGCCCTTGATGCGCACGTGACCTGGGTGGCCGGCCGAAATTACTTCCAAATAAGCTGAAAAAGTACAGAGTGGTTATAAATGATTTTCATCTAGCCAGCTTTGGAATTTTTTTGCATGTAATTTTATTTGTGCCGCTCTAATTTTTTGAAAGCTCTAGTTCTGTCATTAGTGTCACTTATTAATTAATAATAAATTGTTGTTAATTAAACTTTTATTGTTTCAACTAATTTCCAATAATAATGGATAATAATGTATACTTTGGAAGAAAACAAGTTTATAATTGAAGTCTATTTTCGAAGTGGACGCTTAGTAAACGGCGATTTTTTAATTTTGAGTTAAAACAAYTAGGTACCCCTATTTTCGTAAAGCGGCATTTTTTATTTTACATGGAAAATTCACAGCTGGCTAGATGAAAATCATTTATAATCACTCTGTATATTGTTTTCTTAAGTAAATTTCTAATCAAAGTGATCTGTGGCTTTGAAGTTAAGTTGGCAACATTGTAAAATGTAAATTGTGAAAACTTTGTGAATCACAGACTCTATTTAAAGTTAAAAAAGTTTGAAAGTTTATTACTGTGCAAGTCGTTATCGTCGGTGGTTCCCTTAACTTCGCCGTCCGGATAAACGGCGAGATTATGTCTAGTTCTGGAATAGAGTTGCATTTTTGTGCCAAAAAGCGGATTTCCGAAACGGACGGGGCGCAAGTGACGCCAGTTCGAATTGGGGTTGACAGGGGGCCAAGAGATTTTAGGGGTGGAAATCGAGGCAACTGGATTTGATTCGTCCTCCACACCACACCTGCAGGAAATAAAATTAATAACTGTTTTACATTTTTTTTTCTATCTAAATAGCCCTTGATTTACATAATTTAGTAAAGATGCTATAAAAGTCAATCACGTACAAAGTGTAATAAATCAAATGATGATTTCATCGTCAAATTTAAGTCATTTATAACACTTCGTAATTGTTTCCTGACATAAGTTTTTTTTTCAAATTACTTACTTATACACCAACAAAAATTATTAAAAAATTTGAATATGTGTAAATTATAAACTCCAATTTTATAGGTATGGGGAACTCAATCAAGTCTATAAATATTTACATTTCCTAGTCAATTTCTCAATCAAAGTTTAAATATAGAATCACTTGAAAAATACTGGAATTCGTAACAGAAATCGAGTCAATAATGCCTTAGTAAACTCACCACGCAATTCCTCTTTTCGTCCTATTTCTAATATTTTTGCCTTCATCGATCTCATCACTGTCACTCAAACTTTCAACATCGGTACTATCACTGTCACTAGTCCCGTTTTCCATGTTTTTGCCTATTGTTAAATTAAATCAAACAACAGGCAGGTTTGTAATAAATGTAATGGGACAAAAATTGAGCCGGTCTGAGGAAAACACCGCAATTTCTGTCAATTAGTTCAAACGCGTTTAAAATCCGACTGTTTTCGCGTTCTTACTTCTAATTTCTAATTTTCCGCGGTTATAAATAGAATTTTATTCGGCGGTTACGAGACCATCATAAATCACAAATTTTTGAAATCTTACCTTAAATATTTGTTTAAAATTGTAGTTAAGACGATGTCGATTGATTATCTTGATTGTTTTTTATCTTGACGAGAACTCACTGATAATAAATTTAATAATAAATTGATTATTTTATTGTGACGAGTATTGTTAGTTGCCTATCTTAGTATTATCTTATGAATGAGGATCAGTGAGTCCGTTTATACGGCAGTAATTCAAAGTTCTTAAGGCTGTTTTTCCACACAGAATATTTTACAGGTTGATGGTAATAATAATTAATTTTAATGTAATAATTTTATTTTTCTTTTGTAATACAAACAACGACTTTAGAAAACTGGGGAGCTACTAGATTGGTCAGTTATAAATGCTTTTCCTGTTCAAGTTTGCATACAGTGCGAGCCAGCGAATAAGTAAAGTCTATTATTGATCTTTAAATATTACACCACTCAAAAAAATTTATGCATAACACTCGATCTTGACCAAACTTGACATGATGGTGATAGACGACCTGTTTAGTAACAACCCGTCACTTGCAATGTACAGTGGCGGACACGGAATTTTGGGCATCAAAATATGTTCAAAAATTGTCAATGCCACGCTTTATTGTGATTATGATTGATGTTTGAAACTAAAATTTGTGTTTTTATATAAATTCAATAAATTATTTTTTGTCGTCATTTTTTCTCTAGCTTTCAGTATAAAAATTACAAAAACCGAAAGTGAGGTTAGCTGCCTAAGGTCRGTTTTACATTTGTCAAATGACAAATCGTTCAAAATTCCGTGTCCGCCAGTGTATTATGGTGCAGATTCTTTCTGTTCTCGAGTTACGAAGGGTCAAAATTTGAGATTCTGCCTTTGCGAAGTTCACTTAATTTCAATCAAATTAGACAATGACAGACCTTGCCATATTTTAGTACATGTAGGTAATATTACATTGTCTGGTTCAAGTAAATGCTGCCTTTTTTTTATGGAATATACTGCTGTTATGGGATTATTGAAGAAAACATATGTGAAAGAAAAATATATATAATTAAATCATATAAGAAACAAAATGAGAACAAATCAATTTTAGTATGGTTAAACAACGTTTTTTAAACGAAAAAAATGCAGGTTACTTGAAAATAGTTACCTTAAATCTCAGATTATTATCCACTTCAAATTTACCAATACTATAAAAAACGCAATAGTTATCCGAATTTACATAAAAATGTGAGATATCTGTCATATTTTTGGTGCAAAGTTTTCTAGCTACTAATCTAACACCTTTCCTAAAAGGGTTCTGAATTTCAATTTCAAATTGGTATTGATGTCGAAAATCATCAATCCCTTGGACAGTAAAATAATAAGTAGACTGCTCTATTTTTTTAAAATTTAATCGAAAACAAAAAGTTGAAAATCTTATTATCCTGTGATAGTGTACTTCCTTTTCAGGAATTTCTGATATCAAGGTGTTATTTTCATATAAATATTCAGAATGTTTATTTTCTATGTGTTCGAGCAGTTGTTTTTTGGTGCTCCTCCATAAGCATTGTAAGTTAGTTTTTTCGAAAGGACATGGAGAATCACTCATTTCACATATGGAGTGATGCTCACTGATTTTCTCAGATTTAGAAGTAAAAGTACAACCGTTTCGTTTGTATTTGCAAGGATACGTTAGTAAACTTGCTATTCCATCTAGACTAATGTTTCTATTTGGAGCTGATTTTTCACAAGAGTCACAACCGTGATTTTCCTTACACCCCGAACATACTACGTTTGACTTTTCCGCACAATAATAAATCGGTGGAATTGCATAATCCGAACAGTTTATACATTTCAAAAGTGAAAGCATTTCTTCTTCAAGTTGAGTGTATTTTTGGGTTGCTTCCCCGATTATTAATTTCCCAACAGCCATATTGGTAACACATATTATTGGCTCAAGACTAATTTCCCTCACATTGTAGTTTTTTTCAAGACTTGAATCAAAATCACTTGACAGCCTATTATTTTCACCTTTGACTTCTAGTCGGCATGAAAAATATTCGTTCTCTAGATCACATTTGCTTCTGTAAAGTGAAAATTCCAATAATTTGCGTTTAGAATCAAAATTTCTTTTAAAAATCAACAAAACTTTCTCGTATGCTAAAATATTTAGAAAATTTCCGGAGCAAGTCAAGTCCAGTTCAAATTCGCCGCCATTTTTAAGTACCAACTCTGAATGTCCATCCATACTGTGTTGTAACAATTCAGTTCTGGGTCCTTGCCATTCACANGAGCATTCTGTCTATTACAAATAAGCAGTAGGAACTTAGGTAAATGTTTTTATTAATTTTTGTTCATAGAATTACCACAAAGTTCCGGAGTATTCTTTAACCATTCAGCACGAGCTGCTATATCGCTAAGTATTTCAAATAAAGTATCTTTTTCTCTACAAACAAAACATTTCTTGCCGATCTTTGAACTTTTTAAAAGAATGATTGAAAATTTGACAAAAATTGTCAAATTTGAAATATCTATAGTCTTTAAGTTATCAAGTAGATGACGCTTGTTACCGTACGATTTTTTGAGGTTAGTAGAATTCAACGCATTCATATAAAATCGACAGTATGTTACGGCCGTATGGAGCGCAGCGGAAGACAGATGAAGTTGGCCATGCTCAAATTATTATTAGAATAAGAAAAAYTAAATTGTCTTTACAGAATGGCTACTTTTATTAATAGTATATTATTCAGATGTTTATTAAAACAATTTCTAGTGTAATTTTTTTAAATTGTGTTCATTGTCAGCCACGTCGGTAACGCAGGCATCTGATGAGTTTTTGTATTTGACATTTTCAATTTGATTTTCGAAAATTCAAGTTATAATTGAAGTTTGACTGCTTTCGAGCGTTTGTTTAGTGGTTCCGTTTGTGTTATTTTTATTTATTAAAAAGAAACTAACTTTTTGCGTTAGTGCCACCTGCCGGATTACGCGCGAAATAGATCATAGTTAAATCACAATCACCATGACAACGTTAGCAAAGCGAGTTGAAAAATTTCATTCATAAAAAGGCAGAGTCGAACCACCATCTTAACTACATCGTGTCTCGGGTGTATGCTTAGCGCGAAATTTAAAATTATGTTTCCAATTTCTCAATTCAAGCGACACCCCCATGGAACTACATTTAGAATGATTTAGGGTTTTGGGGGATTATGTAAAGCCAACTTTTAGGATGACAAGATAACCAAACCTAGTAAAATTCCCTGAAACTGGTTACTGAAGTTGTATTTTTGGTCGACCTATTCAGTTCAGTTCAATATTTTTTAAACTTATGATCAAAGAAAACCAAATGGTGAAGCCGATGATAAAAAAATTTGAAAAAAAATAACAGGTTGTTGTGCCAAAGTTACTACCGTAATTTATGTCAATATTGTCAATTCAAAAAATGTCAATGTAAGCCACGCTTTATTGTCATTATATGAATAATGTTTGGAACTAAAATTTGAAAGTTTAGTTCAAATGTATTTTTGCCGTCGATTTTTCGAAACAATAATTACAGCAATACGTGTTTTTAAGTTCATTAATTTCAATTTTTATTTATTTCAAATTATTTAAGTTCAATAAATTATTTTGATTTGTTGTAATTTTTTCTCTAGTTATCAGGATAAGAATTACAAAAACCAAACGTGAGGTTAGTTGCCTAAGGCCCGTTATACATTTTTATTGTCGCATCAACAAGTAATAACTCCCTAAGATTTAGGGATATTCGTGAATAGGTTTCCATAAATTTGGTTAGGGTGGTTTTTGGTGACAAACAAAAGATATCGTAACCAGTGTCAAAATTTAGATTAAGTCACCTGTCATCTTATATGGATAATTTTGTTGATAGTTGACATCAGGTTGACAGAAAACGTCAACCGTCAACTACAAGGGGTAACCAACCCTTAGCATTCAAAATTACTTGTGAAAATTCCAGTTACAAACAACATGAAAAACGTAATTTGACTTCTAGTCGGCATGAAAAATATTCGTTCTCTAGATCACATTTGCTTCTGTAAAGTGAAAATTTCAATAATTTGCGTTTCGAGTCAAAATTTCTTTTAAAAATCAACAAAACTTTCTCGTATGCTAAAATATTTAGAAAATTTCCGGAGCAAGTCAAGTCCAGTTCAAATTCGCCGCCATTTTTAAGTACCAACTCTGAATGTCCATCCATACTGTGTTGTAACAATTCAGTTCTGGGTCCTTGCCATTCACARGCCACTGATTCGTCCAAAGGACAGGGAACTACCCGGAACTTACAATTTTCTTCGTGTTCCGGTATTTCCCCCGYAAGGAATTCATCGTGACATCCTTGTGATTGGTAGCGGCATGGAAAATGCACAAACTGGACCAAAGCTTCAAATGAGACGTTTCGCATTGAATTGTCCTTCGTGGGACACCTCCCACATAATGTTTCTTCTTGAGTTAACATTACGGAAAACTAAGACAAGTAATTTTTGCACGACGTGCATTTTATTTGGTTAATGGATTCACTTGAAGACAAAGTGTGGAAGTTCATTTTCTAAAAAAATATTATGAAAACCAACAGAAACTATGTAAATTTGAAATTCATACAATAATATCTCACTTATGTGAGATGTTGATGTTTTTTTTTAAGAAAAAGAGAAAATGAAAACACAGAAGAACCACATTTTTGGAGGATTATGTATTGCCAACCTTTAAGATGAGTACCATACGCAAGTTAACGAAATTTACGCTGTTTACAGTTTACGTAAAATGTGATTTTTATTTATTATTAATAGGATTTTTATTCCCAGAACGCATAAAGTCAAATTAATTGTGTTTATTAGTCACAATGCAGTAGGTATTTATAAAAATTAAAATATTAGTTTTAAATCCAGAAGTGAACGAGGTCATTGACTATTTTATCAGTGGTGCCAATCCAACTATTTAGTAAATTTAAATTTTTGTTTGTCTCTAAAACTTTGTCAGTCACACCTAACCCAACTTTTTGTATGTTTATTATTTAATATAAACGACAAACATTTTTGTTGAAAATGGCTGATGATTTAGAAAATGTAAGTTCAATTCTATCTGCAATTGGGATATTTTATCAACCGTTGTTTCCAGATTCCTTCAATAACCGTCAAAGAACCGCTCGATTTAGTGAGGTTAAGTTTAGACGAACGTATTTATGTTAAAATGCGAAACGACAGAGAAATCAGGGGTAGATTACACGTAAGTAGTCAACATATAAAGAAAAACCATAAATATTATGAAAACTCTAGGCTTATGATCAACATATGAACATGATTCTTAGCGACGCTGAAGAGACTATAACCACCGTCGAAATCGATGAAGAAACGTATGAGGAGGTTTACAGGACAACAAAACGTAATATTCCCATGCTTTTCGTACGAGGTGACGGCGTTATCCTTGTCTCGCCTCCAATGCGCACTTCATAAATAAAACACATTCATTGACATAATGTTTATTTACCCATTAAATATTTTACAAAGACTTCCTGAAGATAATTAGTTAAAATATTAAAAAGGGAGTATTAGGATAGTACGAGTTAAATAATTCTCTATACAACTTAATTTATAAATAAAACGTTCATTACAATATTTACATCTCAATCCAATGGAAAAGTCAATATCCAACCAACTCTGAACCAAATCGTGCCACGTGTTTGTAACTAATTTAAGCTTATTCATGCAATGCGGGATATCCAATACCTCGACACTTGATAATACTGGAAATTTGGCATATTGCTTATATACAAGTTTGCTCGTTAAAAAATTTGAAAAAATTCGTTGTTCCATCATCAATACACTTGACTAGCCGTGCTAGCCTTTCTTCTATGTCACGCTGACGTCTCATTCTCCCCCCATCCCTCGCTATCACATTCCGAATCGCTCCCTGAATCCGAATCGCTAAACTCAACTGCGACTCTCCGCGCCAAAATACTCGCCACATCGTGAAAACCGTTTCCTCTCTCCACTTCCTTCTGCTCAATTTTCTCCACTTTCCTCAATTTAATTCCGTCTCTGATCGCTTTGAGTAAATCATTCCTTGGATCGACTATAGGTGGTGCTTGCTTCGGTCGATCTTTGACAGGTGTCAATTGCGGCGGCGACGCACTGTTTATAATTTTCGCCAAATCTCCATTGACCAATGGTGGACTTGTCGTCGGGCCGTTCAACAGCGGCATTGGTGGAGGCGGCGGCGGAGGCGGAGCTTGAGGAGTCTGCTGTTTGGGAGGCGACGCCTGTTTGGGTACTGGTGGTGGGGGTGGTAAATCTTGCACTGGTTCAGGAGACGTAGCTTGATGCGGACTGTTCGACCGCGATTGGTTGGCGAGATGTGCGGGAATGCCGTTAGGCGGTGACATGGTTGTGTCGGGTGGTGGAGGCGGTGGCGGGAGGTTGTCTCTGCCAGACATGCTCCGCCCTCGTGTCGGCGTATTGGACGAGGGCGTGCTGGTGTTGCTAGGAGGCGCAGGCGGAGGTTGACTTGGGCGGACTTTCCCGCCACGAGTGGGCGTTCCGCCTTGGTATAATGATTCGGAACTGAGTGGGCCTTGGCCGTATTCTTCGTAAGGGGGATAAGTGGGAGAATGGAGGCCGTCGGTTGTTTCTTGTTGGTACGACCGTCTGATTTCGATCGAATTCGGTCTGGGTGGTCGTGGTTCGATATCTTCCGAGGTTGGTAACATTGTTTGTTGTTGTTGCTGGATTATGGGTTGTGGAGTGCGGTAAATGGTGTTTTGTTGCGGCATGATGTACTCGCCGTGACCCATGGCGATTTGCTTTTGTCTTTCTCGGGTGTTGTGCGGTTGACGGACGCGTTTTTTGTGGCGGTTTCCTTGGCCCCCTTCGGTTCGCGGTCGGTGAGGTTTCTTCCCGCGGTCGTGCATCATGCGTTCGGTGTCGTTGAGCATCTCTTGACGCCACAATTCGAAGAAGTAGTTCGGATCGGTGTAGAATTTCAAACCGTCRTTGCCGTCGTCACGYTAACAGTTGAGTTTGTGAAGTGGGGGCGGTTTGTCACAGGAATGATATGTTTCCAACATGGCTGTTGGCATAGTCGCACGAGAGAATATCTGAAGAAAAAAATCAATCAAAAAATATTCAATCTCTAAAATTGATTTTTGAATCACTTTTTAAATGCGATTGGTAAAATTGTACTTTAAAAACCTTCACTACTTAACCTCATTGGATTTATTTTAATCTGGTTAAATCTGATACGTTAGAAACCTTGTCAGTTAAAAATTAGTAACAGTTAAAAAAATTCCGTACTTGTTCGACATTTATTTTACCAAACTCATATGTCAGCAATAATAAAATTAATAGACCAGCATCTGGTAATAATTATCTCAAAGGACAAGGCACACTTTATATGGGAATTTAAGGACCACTCAAATWGGATATTTTTTATATCAATCCACGCATCTCAAAAAGCTGAACATAAATCATATTATTGCACCAAATGTGTATCTTGATTAGGAACACCAAAAATTGCGATTGAATTTTGAATTATTCCTATTGTTGAAGATACTAAATTCTGTCAGCTTAAATTACTATATCCAAAAATAAAATTGTCTTTACATTTCTAAATTCGTGAAGGGTTTAATGTCTCTGTACCTAAACCCCAATCCACTATCATTAGTTATACGGCAGTATTGTACTGGGTGCTGCATTTTGGATGTCCGAATAGGGAATCTCCGAAACTAAGAGGTTTAGTCAAAAACGAATAATACATTCTGGGGCTCATTTTTTGAGGAAATAATATTTGTTAAAACCGCATCCCGCTATCGTCTTTTTTTTTCGACTTATAGACAAAAACTGACATTTTAGCGAAATCTAAAAAAATCCATATCTTCGTTATTATAGAAGACACAGATTTGAAATAAAGACATTATACAGGCACTTTTTTACGAGGACTTTAATAATGTAGTTAATAATTTTTTTCAGTTATTAGTTTAGCCGTAATAAGATAAACTTGTATTTTTTTAAATGGAAATCATAGGCCGCTATGGGAATTTTGAAAAGCTTATTTTTTCCTGATCTAAAAAATATATATTTGTAACAAATTATTATAATACATTTTTAGCCAAAAATTATCTTTGATTTTTGTTCGCAGTTGGCCATGAAAAAATGTTGTTCAACTAAAAGAATTTAAACTATATTATTTTACCAGTGGCAATAATGAAAGAGTCTTCTAAGTACTAAGTAATGAAAAAAATGCAAAATAAATTGTAAATCAACTTATTGGCGACTAATAACATTTCTTTATTTGTTCAATACTTCTAACCTACCTATGGTAGTTTTTAAATTTTTATAATTTTATCTATTTTTTCATCTATTTTACAGTTCACAAAACTCTTATTGATTATTATTTACACATTTGCAGTGAAATAGTTTTTCCATGGCCAACTATTATCAAACAAAATATGTATTTCCTTTTTTAAGTATAATTATAAAAAAATATTCTGTTACAAATATATATTTTTTCTATTTCGGTGTTAGAATAAGTCTATTCCAGCACCCAAATGACGTCATTTGAGTGCTGGAATAAGTCGTTGGCGTTAATTTAATTTTAGTGACGGACTTTCTTCACAATTTATTTTTAAATGTGAAAATAAGAATTATTTTTMATTTTTATTTTTTWCAGCCGCCTAAAATTATTCCACATAAATGTCGCCAACATTCGCAAAAATCTCCAGAAAATAAAAAATTAAAATTTTCGTTTTTTAATTTATAAAATGATATAAAGCGGCAAAATAGAAAAAATAGTATAAAGCACTTGTTGCAGAAGGTTCTTCAAGCATTCATTTGTTCCTCAATTCACCGCTACGCGGCTCGTTTCGGAATTTCAAATTTGTGCTTGAATAGATACCTTCTGCAACTTGTACTTTAATATACTATTTTAGATCAGAGCTTTTCAAAATTGCCTTATGATTTCTATTTAAAAATATACCAATTTATCTTATTACGGCTAAACCAATAATTGAAAAAAATTGTTAACTACATTATTAAATTCCTCGTAAAAAAGTGCCTCTATAATATCTTTATTTCAAATCTGTATCTTCTATAATAAAGAAGATGTGAATTTGTTCAGATTTCGCCAAAATGTCAACTTTTGTCTTAACTCGAGAACAAAAGACGATAGTGGGATGCGGTTTTACCCAATATTATTTTTTCAAAAAATGATCCCCAGAATGTATCACTCGTTTTTAGCTAAACATCTTAGTTTCGGAGATTCCCTATTCGGACATCCAAAATGCAGCACTCTGCAGATTTACAAGCTCTTTGTACAGACCAAAAAGCCGCCACAATGCTTTTCTTATGTGACATATCTTGACTTTGATTGCAATTTCCAACGTTCCTAATTAAGTTACACGTTTGGCGCAATGATTGATATAAAAATTATCCAATTTGAAGGGTTCTTAAATTCCCATACAAAATGTGCCTTGTCCTTTCCAAACTCACTTGTTGATCGAAAGCCACTGTGCTCTTGAACGCCTTCCTCATGTGAATATCTTGCAAGGAAACTTCCTCGACGGTGCTGTCCAATTGTGTGACTTTGATAGCGAGTCTGTCGATTCTCGCTTGGAGTGAATTCGATCTGTCATAGAGCTGTTGGGCGTCTCGGGCCAACTCTCCGAATAAATCTTCGGCATGTTTTGAAAGAGAGGAAAGTTGACGCACTGTGTTTGCCAAAGTTCCATTAGTGACGGCTTCTAATTCAGACACCAGAGGGAAATCATCCGGAAGTGTCCCTCTGGCAACGTGGACCGGTTCGATCACCCTCTTCGGTAGAGGCATGGTTGTTTACTGTTCACCGGCCCCTTGATAACTGGAAACGAAAGATAAACATGATGGAAGGGTTTTGTGAGGTGTTGAATGCTAATGTCAAGATTCAATTGGAATGTTTTAAATAAGATAAAATGTATCTTTATATCTATGAAGAGGTTACATATAGGTGTGTCTTAATAGAAATATTCGCGAATTTAATCTTTTCCAATGTGGGAAAATATTATAAGCGTAATTTAATGTTAGAGAGTATTATATAACACTCATATAAAAGAAGACATTCTGTATGGGCAAATCTTTAATCAAATGTTGTAACGGCGCTCTGTAATTCGCATTTTCTCCCAATGTTTTTATACTTTTTGGTGATAATTAGAGATGATAATGTGGTAATAGAACATACTATACACCTGAAAATATCAAACTATGATTCAATGAAATACTATGAACCTTTGAGAGTTTAATTCTGTTTTTAAGTATTTACACTAGATAAAGAACTTTGTTTTTGACAGAACTTTAAAGTAAATTTTTATCGCCGAAACCACTCCCTTGTATTTCAAGTTGCTTTTTACAAAATAATCGTTTTTTAATAGGTTTTATTTTATTTTTTTAAATACATTACAAGTACATTTTCGTGAACGACCAAAGCGAATTTATTTCACAGTAAAATGTATAACACATGATTTTAATTGTGCTAATATTTTAAAATTGTAGTAAAACAGATCTAAAATAATTCATCTTCTCTATTGGAATGTTTACAACGGGTGTTTATTTAAGTTTCGTCCTTTTACTTGAATTTAATGTTTATTTATTGAAATTGAGGACAAAATAACGAACTTCCTTTTGGTGCTGTGAAGTAATTTAGTCGTTTTCTTTATTGATCACTTTGTCAACACTAAAAAATACAATATTCAAAGACTACATTTACATTATTTATATTTGGCGTCATAGTTGGCGGTGATATGAGATGGTTCGTTCACAATCGAGCTTTCATGGATAGCTTTGACGCCAAATTAAAAAAAAAAACACCCAGTATTTATATAGTTTTTGAGATATATGTAGAATGTGCAATCTGCATTTTAACGTTGGATGATTCGTCAAAACTAAACTAAGTTTGCATCGTACTTCATTTCAAAACTTACATTGCTAATAGTCGGTGACATGTACACAAAAAATTAAAACCTGTGGCTGTCTTTGTTAATTTTAACTATTTTTTTTTTTTAATTTAATAGTTATAAAAGAACTAACGTCAGAGATTACAATTTTTGTTGGTAAAGTTTTAAGACTGCACGCCAAATTTAAATTTATTCGGCTACTAAAACCCTCAATATCTCAGAAACTATAAACATTCGGATAAGGCAAGTTGCATTATTTTGACTTTCTTAGACCTGTACTATTACCTCTTAAACTTTTAGCACAATTATTAAAAATCATCCTGTGTATTCTTTAGTTTTCACTAACTAATATACAGGGTGTGTGAGAACTCGTGTCCCAGAGAAAAATTTTGAGTAATATAAGACACCAGGAACATGAAAAAAATGTTTAAAAAATTCTAGCTGGCAAAAAATTTTGACATTTATATTTTGCCATTTGACATTTTTATGTCTATTTAATGATACTGATGATCTTGTATATGTTTTTTTTATAATTATTTAGTAAAGGTACAAAAATGTTGTCAATAAAAGCCACAAATAACATTAAACAGAGTTGCAATTTAGGATACAGCTTCCTTCTAATAATATGTAGCAAAAAAACTTGAAAAAATATTTTTCCAGCAGAAATAAATAAACGTAATTTTACGAGGCCTGCGCCTGTAAGATGCAATCAATAATACATATTCCGATACGAACTAGATTACAAATTTTGAAAAATTGAATAATCTTCTCTAGTTTGTTCACCCTTTAAAAAATTACGTTTTTAGTTAGTTAGTGAGTAAGATAGATAAACTAGAATCATATTCATGCCGTTTCTTGATAGAACAAATGATAATTGTTTCTGAAAAACTGCAGTTTACGACTATTAATGAAACAGTGATTAGTTTGACAACTACTGGCATGGGTTTCCAAAAATTAAATAGTTAGAACTGTATTTTTTGTATCCAGTGTTTTCTGACTTTTGTATATTTGGGTGCCTACATTAGGCGCAAGCCTCGTAAAGTTGTATGAAACACCCTGTAAAGTCAAGGTGCAAAATTTAAACTCTCGTAACTTCGTAATTTTCATGGATAGAATTTTTTTAACGATTTTTCCATGTTCCTAGTATCTTCCCTTACATGGCATTTTTTCTGAGGCGCGAGTTCTGGCTGTATAGTTTTAGACAAAAATATGTTTTTATTTACAGACGTGACCTTTTATGTGTACGTACTATAAAGTTCATGAAAAACTAGTACAGCAAAATTTTGTTGAAATAAATGTCAAATATAAACGTCTGTCATTATGACAATTAGAATTTTTAAGTTTTTAAAACACTAAATAACACTAACACCCCAGACGTATTTAAGGTGTCTACTTGACATGCTGGAATTATAGTCTATAAAATGTAAGAAGATGAATGCTCCGCCCTTTTTGAATTGTTCACTAGCAAACCAATCGTATCAGAAAAAAATTACACTGAACAATTTTTTTCGTTCTTTCATAACTTCCAAAAATTATGATGCATGTTTTAAAACAGTTCGAGTACGAAGTACTTACTTTGAATTGGGTAAAAAAACACAAAATTTGGATTTAAACATTAATTTCAACTAAATTACGACGTGCCATTTCAAAAAGTGTGACACCCTGACTTACGCTTTCTTTGATTACAGTTTTTTTTGGTAACCACGGGTATTAATCAAGTTAGTTACGACTATAGTAACCAGTTAACATAAAGTACGTAGAAATGTTACACGACAAAATTTTTGAAAAGGTGATATAATTACAAAAAAAAAATGTTTTGCTGTCCTAGTTTTTCATGAATTCGATAGTAGTACTGTAATGGGCAGAAAATGCACAGTTAGTGTTGGCTGACAAACTTATTTCAATAAACTTCTTGTGAATAATTTGCAAAAACAAAACAATGCATATTTATTTGTCACCTGTTTCTTAAAAAAGGATTAGTGTGATTTTTTTTTAAGATTCCTTCTGTTTCTGTTGGAAAAAGTGGGGTTGAAGGACGAAAAAGTCAGTAACCATAGCGACAGTCAATTCAATTATTGGATTTCCCATTTCTAATAATACGTGCCCTTTAAATTTCAGCAATGACAACTACCTAATTTCAATATTATGAATAAAAGAAAACTTCGGTCTTTCTATCAATTATTGAACTTTGAACCACACTGCAATCAAGAAACAGACGTGAAAACTAAAATGTTTCAATATTTTTTGAAAAAAAAAAGGTAGAATTTCAGTGTCCCGTTTCGTCAACCATATGTTATTCCCGTGTCAGTACCGCTTTATGGAAATAAATAAATCAGTGCATGACGCGCGAAAGACATCTGTGAAGGTTATTAACCGACAATTAATAAAATAGAGCGTGGCAGGAAGTGCCCCAAACCCGGGTTGGCTTCAGTCTCGTCAATACTGTCTCAATAAGGAAGTGAGTCATTAGGGGGCGACATACGCCCTAATTAATAAATAACAGCAAACACTAACATCAAGGTCACGACATTTCTCGCAATTACGTAAACAGACACTGCAAACAGTCAGATTTTGGGGCATTTTCTTGTAGAAAATGTCAAGTAGAAAGGGGAAAGGCCAACTAACCGTCGTCGGGATTTCCACTGGTTTCTTACCTCCGCATGGTTTGAGACACTCATTGATGGGTGAAAATGTTGCCACACATATCTCTACATACACAACACCAATTGTTTAGTTAAAAACGGTAATAAGTTAATAAATATCGCAGAAAATGGCGTTGCGGTACACCCAACAAACACGATTGGAGCAGGACTGCCACACCCACGGAGCGAAAAACACCAACTAAAGCAGCGGCGCCGCGTCATCGAGGGGGTTAATCAATATTGCGATGACAAAATAAATAACACAAATGGGACACATTTCAAGTGGAACACCGTTATTTTTACATGCTCTTATCCGATTGAAAGTTCCGGATTTAATTGCTTCGAAATAAATGTTTATTTGGCAAATTATCATTATTTCAACAATTTGTTCAAATTTGCTTATTAAACTTGAGTAAAATTTTACGCAAATTTCAGTGGCGTCCTTTAAGCTTTTCAATAAATTCTTAAGAAATGCCAAGTTGGTAAACCCGATTTTAAGAGATTTTTGTTTAAAATGGCTATGTTAACCAATTTTTGGTGTAATAAAAATGCTCTTTTTCTTAAATTATATTTATAAAATAAAAAATAAATAGATATTGCAAGGTTAATAACATTGAGTAAAATATAAAACTATAAAACATTAATTCTGCGTTTTGTAAATAACATGTTTCCAAATAAAACAAAACTTGCATTTTCTTTTGAACTGTAACACACAGTAACAAACATTGATGAGTATTTTTCCTTTACAATATTAGTATTTAGAAAATGCTATGCAATATGCAACTTTACTAAAAAAAAAGACACTTAACGTGCATACATAACACATTAACATCGACGGAACAGTCTATAGTACGGGTTAATTTAACAAATTGCCTCTACAAAAAACAAACCTATTTTTAAGCATCACAATTTACAACGAATTCAGATTCATTTTCAATGATACAAGAAAGTTCTCTATTGAGTATTCGTCAAGTTACGATATCAATACTTGAATTGATACTGGGTTAGTATCAAATTTGACTTGTACAATCGTCGACTATACGAATCAAATTTCCAATATACTATACTATAATACAAAATTGCAACAATTTTACTAGAGATACATAGTATCAACTTATTGATTAATAATTATATTGACATGATAAAAACAGAGGGGTTGACACCACAATCCTTTGCAAGCGTTATTCCTACTTAGTAATAACCTACTTAGTTTCTCTATCATTACTCTGAATTCTTCAATATGAAGTTATTTTGGACAATCTAAACTACACCTCGTCGTAAATCCATTACGTTTAGATAATAACTGACCTAACCTCGTATACACTTAGTTTCACCTAAGCCCATAGAAGTATAAAACCCTAGATCGCGCACAGAAAATATGTTCTCAAATCGTCAAAAGTGGATCCAAAACGTGCGTAGAAAAGGCCTTAAATTCCTCTCGATTAAGTCTTGGGAAACATGGACAAAATCGCTGCACATATCTTCTGGGGATTGGTCTCGTCCGGATACATTCTCATTGCTTGCGTGACTTGTTCTTCAGGGAAAATCGCCGCCAAATGATAATGTAATTTCCTTCTGGCATCTTCTTGAAGCGTTGGCGGCGGCGGTGGTCCCCCTTGAGACCACAACGGAGGCCAAACGTTTAATTGCGGATCAGAGCAACTCGACATCCTCTGCATATGTCTATGAGTGGGGGCTGTCGGAGGCCACGGTCGGTACGAATCCGGCGCCGAAGCGATCCTCGTCACATGCTGATGCATGTCCCAATTAGGCGTCGRCATGTATGGGGGCTGTGGTGCCACATATCGTCGTACCAGTCGTGGATCAGAGGCGGGATTCAGGGTTAGTTGTCTTTGGAGCTTCCGGTGGAGATTCTCCGGCTGAGGGGGCGCAGACCCCACATTGTCCACACTACGGCTTTTCGAGACAATCGCGTGTTGTACTTCTTTGGGCGGGGGGATGTTCGATCTGGTGCGCCCCAAAGGGGTTTTCCTCACATCCCCTTCTCTGGCTTGGAGGTGTCTCTGTGCGTGTTCTGATAATCGTTCGGTGACACTCTTGTGAGGAAATGGTCCACGTTCGGGGTGGTGGTACTTGCATTTGTTGCCGTAGGTGCATTTTTTCGCGTAAGGACAAGGGGGCGGYGGGTCACCCTTTTTGGGTTGAGTCCGTAGAAAATTTTCGAGGGTGGGACCGGAGCGGCCGAGGGGGTCATCCGGAGGCATGAAACGGTCATTGACAAAACTGTACATAAGGATTCGTTCTTCAACAACTTTGCGAAATTCGGCGCTTTCTTGACAGAGGTCTCGATAGTTGTCATTGCTGACGACGATGCCGTCCTCTTCGGCCGCCAAACGGAGGATGTAGCGATCGTCGTAACAGACCATTCGTTTGCCGCCGACGAGACGKGAGGGAGTAAATACGAGCAGTCTTTCTTTTTCCAGTTCTGCCAAAATGTCTTGGTCACGGACGGGGTTGTCGGGACGGGGGGCTTCCTTCCGCCATTTCGGCACGAAGACGGTGATGTCTTTGTGGCCGCGGGCCTTAAACCAGTCAACGCAGATCTTTATGCCGCGACATGAGAATATCTCCTTGTTGCCGTGACTAAAACGAAAAAGGCTTATATTAAAAAAATAAACTTAGATTAATCACTTTTAAACCTCATTAAAATCTTTGATTTGTGTAAATTTGAAACATATTTAAATGAGAAATTTGACTATTTTTTATAACCTTTAATCATATACAGGTGTCCCACCAAGTCTATTATTGACCTTTATACAGTATGTCCCAAAAAAAAGTTACGATACAAACTTGTGTTTTTTTTTAATGAAACACCGTATGTTTTTACGCTAAACTTTTATTAGTCGATTTCGCTTAGTTTAATTAGAAAGAGAACATTTTTTTGACAAAATCATGCACTTTTAAAAAAATTATTACACAAAAACTAGACACTAGAACAAATTTTTTCTTACTTTTGCATAGAAGAAAGTACAGAATTTAAAGCTGTAGTAATTTTTTAGTGTTTTGCATTTGTAAAGATTAAGAAACTAAGAAAAAAGTTTGTTAAAGGTCAAATAACTTAAAAAATTTCTTGTTGGTAGTAAAAAAATATTTCTAGATGTCTTAGTTTTTGTGTATTAAATTTTTTAAAAGTGCATGTTTTCGWCTTATTTTTAAAACTAAGCAAAATCGACCAATAAAAGTTTAGCTTAAAAACATAATCATAAAAATCTACATCCAAAAACGCTAAAAAACATATAGTGTTTCATCTAAAAAAAAATACAACTTTGTATTGTAACTTATTTTTGAGACATAGTTGAAAATAATTTTAATTGGACTAGATTAGTATCTACAATGTCCTATATATATATTTTTTTAATTTTACCATTTAAAGGCCACTAATGGACTTTTTCAACTCGCTGGGGCAGCCAGTATGTTTTATGTTTTTTTGTTTTCGCATCTTCAATGCTGATGTTTTTAAATCAAACTTTTATTGTCCGGTTTTGCTCAATTTTAAAAAAATTTGTAGGTACAGTGATGGACAGTGAATTTCGTCCACCCAATTTCCCTGACAGATTAAAAGTGTAAATTATTTTTAAGTTTTTTTAAGCTTGTTTCAGAATTTTGATTAACGTTTGTCACATTGACAGAATGCTCGATACTCCTTTCTATTTTTTACCTTTGTCCGTTGAAATGGTAGTCCTTAGTATGCCCAAAAGGTATAGAGACACGTCTTTAGGACATTGTTAAACGCACTTAGTGCTGGCATGTTCGAATTTGATTAAATTTGGCAATACGTATTTGAATGTCAGTCATCATGGCAATAAAGCACAGACTATAATGAATTTTTGTGAATTCGCGGAAATTGGGTGGACGAAATTCACTGTCCATCACTGTACAAAGTTTAAGACTATCATATTTTTTACCGTATTGCAATCACAAAGTCGAAAAAATTAAGTTTAAAATGAGCATATTGTTTCAAAATTTAACGTTTCTGACGGTCGAATTTTAATTTTTGCGGACACGAAATTTTGGACATTAAATTTATGTCACTTCAAAAAATTTCAATGAAAGCCACACTTTATGGTCATTATGATTGACGTTTGAAAGTTGCTTTTAAAAGTTTTAGTTGAAATATATTTTTGGCGTTGATTGCCAGCAATAGGTACGTGTTTTTATACAGTGCGATCAAAAAGTCTTTCTATCAAGTAGGCGTCCTAGTTGAGGACGTATATTGCATGGCAGTTCGTATGTTATCTAGATGTCAAAAAATTATTTTAGAAAAATTAAGACACTAAGCTAATTAAATTAAATTATTCTATGAAGCGTCTCAAAATATCCTAAAATGAGATTTTGTTGGTGTTTATTCATAAAAATCGTTCACTACGATTTGTTGTTATAATTTACATAAAAATTATTTTGACATTTCTCATTTGCTATTGTGACATTTTATCTTTCCACAGACATACGTTTTAAATTTCTACGCTTGCTTGATAGACAGACTTTTTGATCTCACTGTATAAGTTGAATAAATTATTTTGATTTGTTGTAATTTTTTTCTCTAGCTGTCAGGATAAAAATTACAAAAACCGAAAGTGAGGTTACTTGCATAAAGCCCGTTTTACATTTTTATCTCAGTCGAATGACAAATCGTCCAAAATTCAGTGTCAGCAATTTACCTCCCATCTATTTCATTGACATTGACAATGCCAGTGACATCTCTCGGTTCTGATATGAAACAAAATTCGAATGTTTCAAGAAAATCGAAAAAAAAGTAAATGTACAGATTTGTCAATAATAAATTACCACCTAGGATTTGAACTTTTAGGAAAATTACGTTTATCATGTTGTTTGTAACTAGAATTTTCAGAAGTAATTTTGAATGCCTAGGGTTGGTTACCTCTTGTTGTTGACGGTCGACGTTTTCTGTCAACCTGCTGTCAGCCATCAACTGAAATCTGCTTACAAGCTGACAGGTAACTTAACCTAAATTTTGACACTAGTTACGATCTCTTTTGTTTGTCACCAAAKACCAACCTAATCAAATTTATGGCAACCTATTCACGAATATCCCTAAATCCTAGGGAGTAATTTCTTGTTGATACGACAATAAGAAAGAATAAAAGAAGACGTGTTTTATAAAGTCATGTAATATTGTTAACCTTCTCACCTCATCGCCACATTGCTGCCATCGATAACGATCGGCCTCAGTGTGTGCCCTCCGGCCTGTTCCCCTTGGACATCGGTCACGTCCAGCGTGCTCTCCGACGGACTGCTATCGCATGAGCCCCCCTTCTGTGCCCCCAACTTGATCAACTCTGCTAGCAACTCGTTTTGCGCCGGCGAGGGCCCCAACTTCTGTAACGCCGCCTGCACCAGCTTTTCGGTGTAGCCGAGCTTCAGGGCGAACTCCACGCGGGCCGTGTAACCAGGTGAGGCATCCGATGGAGTCGTCTCGACGTACTCGGCGTATTCAGCGGCGAGCGTGTCGCTGGCCGTTCTCGAGACATCTTGGTGGCGGCTAGGCGTCGGATCAGCATCGTAGTCCGAATCGTAGCTGGAATCTTCGCCAGCAACGGAACGCTGACATCCTTCGCCGCAAATGTCGTCTACATATTTCTGAAACAAAGGGAAAAGGTGAACTTTGAYTAAAGACGTCAGRGCGGCACGTGTTTTTGACGCACGACGTCTTATCGGTACGAATTCAATGTTCTGCGATTGATAATGAGTGTAATTGGATCAAGAGGTGGTTTGTTGGTAAACAGGAATTCGAAACGAGGTCCAAAGCATTAATCAAACGGTTATCAAAATTGCGAGAAAAATTTGTGATTATCTGGTATAGTAGATCAAAAAGCAACAGGAAAAACATTTGACATCTTTTATATTATTTAATTGATTCTACATATTATTATTTTCATCACAACATTGGTATGGTTATGACTATAACCATAGAGTTATCACTGGTACCGATTGGTCAAAATTAAAGAAGAAAAATTGTCAAAATACCATAAATTATTTAGTTTCTGATTAAAATGTCCTCTCCTGAGGCTTTGATATTAAGTTGCCATCATTAAATAATATACAGACAGATAAAACTGAAAAGTCAGAGCCAACATTAATCAGAAGTTGAAGGCATTATCAAATATTTTTTTTTTAATGCTAGAGAAAAAAATAATTCTGATTAAAATTTGATACCTACTTCAATACAACCTGTATATTTGGGAAACGTATACCAAATAAATTAGGTATCATTAAAAGATCTACATTTGTCAAAAAATCTTTAAACTAAATTAATAATTGTTGTAAAGATTTAGTTTATTCATTTGTTGATAATTTAGAAATAATTTAAAATTAAACTAATTTGTTAAACTTTTAGACGATATAAAAATAATCATGTTTAAAAAAACTACGAAATTGGCCTAGATAGAGAAACAGCAAGTGGTAAATAATTTTCTACAAAATAATTAAATATCTCCTTAATTTTGCACTACACAACCTCAACTCCAATCAATGCTAAATTAGAAGGTTGCAAAGTCGAAGGTTGAATAAATTCTCTAAATTGTTAAATAAAATTTTTCAGCAATGGTCATATTGCTTAGTAAATGCTAAAAATTCATTAAACTTGTAATAAAAAAATATTTGGCAAATGAAGTTTGGTAATTTATCATCAAATCAATATTGTTGTGGAATTGTTAATTTATTTATTAATTTTTGAAATGACATTGACGACAACTTTTATGAATTTAAGTATGTGGTAGGTGTTGTCAAAAACGTCAAATATTTTCACAATTTATTTGGAGTTAATTTAAAATGAATAATTACTCCAATGCAAAAAGGGCTTCTATGGTCAAAAGGTATTTGATCTTCTTTATTGCTTAAGACTTTTTCTTGTTAAGTAAACTTTTCTTGCTTAAAAACCAATTAAATTCTTAATTACTTAGATACCTGTTTATTATATTATTAAAGAAATTGGCAAAATACTTAAAAATCGTTTTCAACATTATTTCCCTATGTTCGAGTTTGAAACCGGACACCCGATATAATGTAATTTTTATAATTATAAATTATATAATTATAAAACTATTATTTTTTATTCAGATTGGTGATTGAAATTGGCGGATTTAAGAGTCTGGCAACTCTCTTATGTAAGCAAAAGTTACTTCTTCAACTACACTTTTTGGTGACTTACTGTCGCTGTCACTCGACATTTTTCTCTGGGGCGATAGTTCTGAAACATCCTTATGTAATATTATTAAACTGTTTTAACAATTCAATATGAAAATTTCTCAATTTAAATGCATCAGCTGTTTTCAGTAGTAACTGCACAAATAGCGGTACTTTATTCTAACGAATCTTCATCGTAAGCAACCTATTTTTGTTAGAAATAGTAGAAACAAACTTTTTTTTTTCAAAACTTTACAGGTGTCCGTTTTTGAGTTCCACCATGGGAAACTCAGTTATTATAAAAAATACGCAGTTAAATTAGAGCAAAGTTTTCATGCTAAACAATTATCTGAAAGAAAATTTGATGTCATTTTCAGTTTTTGAATAAAAAGGGTAATTTATAATTTTCGTTTTTATTTTTTCAAGCGAAAACCAAAAGACCTAGACGTTCTTTACAAGAAATCTAAATCTGCCATCGTATTTTTCAAGGCGTCCTTGATGCCAGAGTTACAACACTCAACTTTGGAACTTTGGTTTTTCTTATAGGATCCATATTGGATTTTTCCATTTTTTAAAAGTCTTTTTATTCCTGATTATAACGATGTATCACAGGATATGATCGAATCTTAAATGCTGATCAAAACTGAAAAAAACGTTCTTGTGAAGACTGCTGTGGAAAGAACACCAACAATTTTGTTTAACGAACTAAATTTTGACAGTTCAGTTAAATTGCGAGCAAAAATTTTATTGTTTATTTTCTTTTTTAAAATGGTTGTTTGTTCCCTTGATACATACAGGGTGTTTCACACAACTTTACGAGGCCTGCGCCTAATGTACGCACCCAAATATACAAAAGTCACAAAACACTGGATACAAAAAATACAATTCTAACTATTTAATTTTTGGAAACCCATGACAGTAGTTGTCAAACTAATCACTGTTTCATTAATAGTCATAAACTGCAGTTTTCAGAAACAATTATCATTTGTTCTTTCAAGAGACGGCATGAATATGATTCTAGTTTATCTATCTTAATCACTAACTAACTAAAAACATTGTAATTTTTTAAAGGGTGAACAAACTAGAGAAGATTATTCAATTTCTCAAAATTTGTAATCGAGTTCGTATCGGAATATGTATTATTGATTGCATCTTAAAGGCGCAGGTCTCGTAAAATTACGTGAAACACCCTGTATTAGTATATTATACATAAAGAGAAATGCCCGATTATTCCTAAGATGCCGTTTATAAAGCACCAAAGGAATATAATAGCAATTCTCTTCAGTAGTGTATAGTATACTATTTTTTTGCAAAACATGCGTTTTTAAACTCAAGAAATTGGCTGTACTTCTTTAACAAAATTCAAAAATTAGCTAGCAATCTTTAAAATTACACCATGGCAACATAAAAAATATTTATTAACGATAGCCAATCAAAGAATAGGAATGATTTAGTGACGGGAGCAAATATTTGCTACTTATTTCTCTCCCTCGGAAAAGAATTTTGACTTCTGTCACAGTTATAACATAAGAAAAGTTGATTTCTATTCTAAAATAACTATTTTGTTACAAAGAATAATTTTAGTTACTCGTATAAAGGTGCGCAGTGCCGGAACATGGAAAAGAACTTTAAAAAATTCTGTCTATAAAAATTTGAGAGTTTAAATTTTACACTTTGACACTATTTATTTCTGTTGGAAAAATAATTTTCCAAGTTTTTTTGCCACAGGCTATTAGAACAGCAAATAAGGAAGCTGTATTCTAAATTGTAACTCTGTTTAATGTTATTTGTGATTTTTATTGGCAAAATACTAAAAATACTAAATATTTATAAAAAAAAAAAAACAGATACAAGATCATCAGTATAATTAAACAGACTTTATAAAAATGTCAAATGTAAAAAACAAATGCCAAAATTTTTTGACAGATGGATTTTTTTTGATGTTCCTGGTATCTTATCTTACTTGAAATTTTTCTCTGGGGCGCGAGTTCTGATACACCTGTATAAAAATTAAATGTCATTACAGACAAAATGACTATTAATAAAAATGCCAATTTTTGAAAAATTATTCGATGAAACAAATTAGGCCAATTACAACATTTTTCTATAAAATCCAATTTAGAATTTAAATTATCTGTCTAAAAATAGCTACATTTTTTTATATAACAATTATTAATGACGCAAATTCGCGTGTTCACAAAACATTATCTGCTACCAATTGTAATAAAATGAATAATTAAAAAAAAATTAATGAGTCAACATAAAAACATAAATTGTATCATTACTCTAAGATCCGGCTACGAACTTATCAATGTTCTGAAATAGGTCACCAAATAATTGAAATGTTCCTCTAAATTCCTCACTCTGTCTATTGAAAATCGCAATCAACAAGCTTAAAATTGTTTAAAATCCGGGCCATCCCCAAACCGCAAGAAATTGCCTTTGTGAGTGCCCAAATAAGCACGAAATTACTTTTTACCTCGTCGACGACTGTCATATCTTCAAGATAATCGGAACTGACACCGAATCCATTCCGTTCACGTTGACGTCACTGCACTTATCACCGCATCCTGGTTCATCGCAACAACACACAAATAACAACAACAACAAGAGAGAGGATCGAAGAAGAAGCACACACTTTTCGAACAGGATCTTGTTACGTCGCCGTACGAAAACTAACTGAACTTGGATTTATACAGATATAGTGAAACGAAATGAATGAAGCGTCGAACCGGATTTACATTCGGAACAGACGGAAAAGACAAGGTGAAAGGGAGAGGGAGACGTGAAGAAAGTACGAGAGAGGTGGACGATGCGATAATAACGCGATGAGGATTTTTAGACTGGATCGACGGTTGACCATTTCTTGGTGTGGTTTCTATTTTGAATGATGGGAAAGAACTTGAAACGATCGACTTTCTTTCGATTTTTCCCGGACTGGCTTCTGATTGTTGGAACAAAACCAGATGCTATTAACTGCGTGTTTCCCGATTACGTTCTGAATTCTGAAATAACAAAGTTGGGATAAATCTAGCAGTCACTCAAGCAAAAAAGTGGAACCACTAAAAGGATTAAACTGTGATGTTGAATTTTTTTGGATATTAATTGTTCTGGCTGGACACTTTTTATAATTTTATTTATTGTGTACAACGTTTTTCGTCGTTCTAAATTAAGTACATTACAAGCGAGGTGGTAAATATGGCATTACCTCAAGTGCTTATGTATAGGCGCCAGCCTCAAGATCGGGTAAAGCACCGAGGTTTGTATGCTATTTTATTCACAATCACATTATTTTCAAAATTTGAGTAAAATAAAATTCTAACAAAGTTAAGGGCCAAACGTGGTAGGCCATTCAAATGGCGTTTGATTTTTGACGTTTCAGAAATGTCAAAGAAAATATTGAATAATGTGTGATTTAACACACAAATTTTGCTACAAAAGCAATTGAATACTAA